TTACACATCTGCTTTTGACTCTGTACCTAGAGGCCTTTTGTTAAACAAGCTTAGCCTTACACAAACTGAGTCCTGGGCTATCAACTGGCTGCACTCTTACTTCTCCAATAGGATGCAGTACACGGTATATAATGGTGTAGCTTCCTCTCCTTTGCTTACTGAAGCTGGTGTTCCTCAGGGTGCTGTTCTCTCGCCGTTTCTCTTTTCCTTCTTCTTACATGACTTACCTCTCTCAGACGAAATCAACTTCGTCAAATATGCAGATGACCTGACTGTTTCGCTTCCCGTTAAGTCTCAGTCAGACTGCTTCAAATTAAATAGCTTCCTGTCGGACATCAGTCAGTGGTCTAAAATAAATGGCCTAACGCTGAATCCCTCAAAATGCCAGACTGTCGACTTCTCCTTTAGGCATAAACGAGATCTACAAACACTAGTAAGCACTCATGATGTCTGTAGAATCGAGGGGACTATAATTGAAACAAAGTCTAATGCAAAATACCTCGGATTAGTTATATCTTCCGACCTTACTTGGTCATCTCATATCCAAATGATTTCCAAGAAAGTGTTTCGTCTAACCTACTACATTAAGAAACTCAGACTAACTGGAGTCCCTCAACCTCTGCTTACACAATTTGTCAACTCTCGTATCCTACCTATTCTACTTTACTGTTCCCCGTTAGTCTTTCCTGGGTTACTGAAAAAGGATTATACCATCCTGAGAAGGATGTTGAAGGTAGTTAGCAGGACTAGCGGTGTAAAACTCAGTCAGCTCGTCACAACATTAGTGGATAAGCATCTGAATACATGTGAGAAATGGTCTAAAACCATACTCTCTGACCCCCAACACCCCCTCTATTCCCAACTCTCTCCCTGCATCTCATCAGGTAGAACCAGAAATCAGTATAAAATAATATATGCTCGCACAACCAAGTATAGGAACTCAACGATACCATATTTGGCCCGTGTTCTAAGTGACAGAGACAATGTTAGGCGTGAAACCTATGACTTGCTTTGTTGTTAATAACATAATTTTGGCCCTTGTTATTTCCCCCTTACACTCTCTTATTTGTACTCTATAGTGAACAACCTTCTTAAACATACTTAGCTGCTTAAAATTATTATCATTGGCTTACATTTTTATTCTTTATTCTATTCCTTCTTTGTACATCTACTGGGTCCGACTATATTATCACTATGATTATTAAAAATTGTCCCGTCATTAACCATCATGTAACATTAGTTTTGTGGTTGTTCTTTGTTCGGCACTATTTAACTGACAATCTTGTTTGTTATTGCCACTATCACCATCTTAAAAATTTTGTATTATGCATGATTCCTCACACTACCACTACAAACAACCGCATTAGTACTGACAAAAAAAACCTGAAATGTTTATCTTATGATTGCTTAGTGTTGTTCAATCAAATTAACTGATCATCTTGGCTATAAACATTTTTTAAGAACATCTCATAATTTCCCGTATGATTATAGCTGTTACTGTTCACCACGCATACACATATCGTAGCTTCCACTAACCAATACTGAAATATTTTTTCATTATTTGTGTTGATCTTCTTTTTTACTCGGTATTTTTATTTGCGATTTTTTTTGGTTATTTCTGTTTCTTTTTTTGGTTTTTTTTATATATATATTTTTTTTTATAATACTCCTTTTAAATGTACGATGAAATTAGATGCAATATTGTAGATATGTGCTGAAAATTCCACACTGTACCACAAGTACTGTTTCTGGAATAAAGCGAAATTGTTATGTTATGTTATATCCACCAATGCATATATAATGCTATTATATAAGACCAGTGATACTTTACTTCTCTGGCAAAAACCAAAGTGTAATCATTTGCGAACACAAAGTTTCAGACGCCATTACAGGAATGTATGTTTCTGAGTAGAGTCTTAATACCAGCACAATATTTTGTCTGTAGATACCCTGAGCAGCTAAATATTTCACAACCCTTTCCATCAATTAAATGTCACCCTCATATTCTACAAACAGTTCATAAGCCATTTTTAAAGTCATTAATTACCCTAACGAAAATAGAATGTTCGGGAAGATTTAATAAAAACACCCAAAGAATTATGATGGATATCTTATGGCATTTATAATTTTAAGGATGATATTAGTAATGCTTGTGATCACACAGATAATTGATATACCCTGAATGTAACGCATCTCGATATTATTCATAATGGTTCAGATACGTATATATTGTATAAGCGCATTCTAAATCTAACCAGGTGTTGATTGTTTCAACCTTATAAAATCACAACACAACAATGACTGTTTAAAAAAGGCAATCACAGTCGGCAGAGATATATTTACTTTGCTAATTGGAAATCCCCTGCTAGTTAACACTTATCGTATTGACCCGCAGACCTTATTGCACACTGGTTTCGATGTATATAGTACTGCAAGACAGAATATATGCATAATTACTATCCCTAACCAGTTTAATTCTCAAGTGTAAATGATGATATTTATAAGCAAGACGAAGCAGAATCCACTATTAATTATCTTTAATGTGGATCATTATAGGATGCATGGTTATGAAATCAAACAGGCTACCACTCCACTTTAGATACGTTTGAATGACAACGAAGAAAGTGTAAAATGTGAAGACGAAGTGATTACTGGTGTAACAACAGAAGACAAGGGCCAGGCAACAGATCGTTTATTATGAAAATCAACACGTATTTATACATCTTTCAACTACATTATTATAGACAAGCGCAGTCATCTGATTGGTTGTTTAGGTAGACAAACGCAGGCTTCTGATTGGTTGTTTCGGGATTCCTTGACAAACAGAGTTCTCCTTCTGCGAATCATATTTTGCCACGTTAACTTCGCTGGGATTGGTTGTTGACTCAGCCTTGTTCACGGCCCATATTAGTGACCTAGACCTTAACGTAGATTAGTGCCAACCAATCGGCTAGCAGCCTGCTCTCACCACACTCGTCCCCCCGTCAAATACGTGCGACTGAAGTCGGCTTGATCTACTTGGTGCAGGCGTCATCGTTGGCTTGTCTCGCTGTATCCATTTCTGGAGCTCGCTGACGTTCACGCGCCTCTCATTGTTCGCCATTGCGACTGTGTCTGCGTAACCCTATCTCGAAGTGACCATATATGGTCCTTCCCACTTTGGAAACTGTTTGCCTGACCCTGTCGAACATTCGTCCATACTTCGGCCCACACCTTCATATGCTGCTTTCGCCCGACCTCCCAGCAGCGTCTCAAGTAGCAGCTCCATCGCTGACAGATCTTGAACGCCACTCAACTGCGCAGAAGCCTTGAAGTCCTGCCCGAAGATCCATATGTCTCCATCAAAAACTGCAGGGTATAGGCTTTTCATTTGTCGGTAGGCAGCGACACAAAATGTAACAACAGAAGACAAGGGCCAGGCAACAGATCGTTTTATTATGAAAATCAACACGTATTTATACATCTTTCAACTACATTATTATAGACAAGCGCAGTCATCTGATTGGTTGTTTAGGTAGACAAACGCAGGCTTCTGATTGGTTGTTTCGGGATTCCTTGACAAACAGAGTTCTCCTTCTGCGAATCATATTTTGCCACGTTAACTTCGCTGGGATTGGTTGTTGACTCAGCCTTGTTCACGGCCCATATTAGTGACCTAGACCTTAACGTAGATTAGTGCCAACCAATCGGCTAGCAGCCTGCTCTCACCACACTGGTAGTCAGCAGTGTATGTATAAAGTCTTTGATAATGAATACGCGATTCATTTAGTAAGACATCTAACCACTGAACCTAAAGACAGAAGGGTAGTCTGCACTACCGTGTATATAGCTGTGATATCAGGTGTGAAAAACAGTTAACTGACAGATAACTCCGAGGCCAGGCTTTATGATTATTTTTCTCCAACATACCATGTTTTAAAGTTGAAGATAGAAATGATGAAGATATCCAACAAGTAACAACATGGCCCAGTCACCATGAAGGGTTAAAGATTTGAAAGGAGAAATTCTTTCACTCATGTACGCAGCATCGATTCAGCTACATGTGGCACGGTTGCAGATATTAAATGAATGATCAAAAGCGAGTTCGAAAACCTGTTGCACTCAGAATGAAGACTATCATTCAAATTTTCTACATTAATATCAAATCAATTCTTTTATGTGGTTCAGAGACCGGTTGTGCCACGGAAAGCATTCTAAACAGGCTTCACACTTTCATAAACAGCCTCCATTGCCACATCCATGGTGAAGATGATATAGCACTACAAAATAAGCAGCGGAAAAGTCTGAGAAAACACAGACCAAGGATCCACAGCCTCATAAATATAACGAAGAAAACAGAAATGGAACAGAAATCTGCCAAGGAGACAGCGGAATGACATCAAGCGCAAGTCCGTCAAGTGCAACCCGAATGTGAAAAGAGGATTTGTACATCCAAGTGTGATACTGTGGAGATCGTGGCAGAGGGAAACTGAAGCTTATGGTCAGTCGTAGAGCCATCTAGAGAGGACTGCAGAGAACAGTATGAAGTGAGAATTCGCTGTAGAATCCCTATATTCCAAATGGAACCCGATGGATTAAAAATGAATAATATGATAATTTGAAAAGTTAGTAAAACGCTCATTCAGTTTCAGAATTCACTGAAGCTTCATCCTGTCCAAATAAAAGTGTGAATTTTATCAAGTCCTTATAAAAGTTTTTATTTTTATTTTTTTTTTTTTTTGATTACAGCTTGATTCCATACCGTATTTTTGGGACAAGTGTGGAATATTCAGCGTGGATATCGGTAGCCCAAAATTCGCAGGCCAAACATAGATATCAGGTGTGTGTCGGTGAGTGCTCGAACCCCGGACCATGTGCATGGTCGGCGAGAGTCCTAACTACTGTGCCACCAACGCACAACAATCATAAACCTTGGTTGTATGCTAACCGTCATACGCAAAGTATCCCAATCAATCGAAAACAAAGAAGTCAAGTAATAGCAAACGAGAACAAAACACCTAATTATCAAGATCACTTTATTTGTACAACGTATAATTATCATCATAGGTGATGACAACAACAGTAATAATTATATCAATATCTGAATGGTAATAATATTAGCGACAAAGTTTTCTTTCGGTAGCAATAAAAAATAGACTCCATGCTTTACTACCTCACAAACACGTAAATTTTCAAGTATAATTTTATAATTACATCTTCGACTTCAGTAATAATGAACTAAACGTACAGTAATTAAACCAGTTCTCTTCTTTCCCACTACCCTCAAGAATTTGCGTGATATCTCCATCCATTGAGATAATACTGAACACTGATGAATCAATCGACCAAACGCCTACCATCTATCCAACCACTTGGGATAAAAAGAAGAGAATTCAAAGTGTGGAATCGATGAAAAAAAAAGAAAATATGCAGATAAATTATATATGAAACGAAAGCGATGAAGGTTATATACTTAGTAAAAAATAAAAGTAAACTAATTTTGTGAATGAATAATTATACACCGATAGAAATCTAAAGTATCTCTGAAATTATTAATAAAAAATAAATAAACGCAGAAAAATTTATTCTGAAATAAAAAACAACGACAAGAGAATGTGAAGAATTATTTATTTTCATCATGGTTTGTCTTAGCATTATGTATGTAGTATACAACAATGACAATGTGCTTCACGCCTCTGCAACAACACACTGCATACCAGTGCATCATCGACAAGACGATGAAGTGATTAAAAATAAAGGTACATTAAAATAATTAGTATCTAATTTAATATTTACTCTATTCTGTGTAGTGTACTCTATTTTGTAAGAAAAAAGGGATAAAATACAGAGCAGTTCACCATGTTGGCAGAGAAAACAACACAATACAGTACTAAAGTGTTCAAAGGGTGGCAACAGAAAAGAAATGGCTTTGAAGGAATGTACGATTATAAAGGTATCATCAAAGATGATGAGAACACAGAAGTATCGTTTGTATCAATTACCAGAAACTTGTAGCTTTATTTCTTTTAGTTACAGTGTTTTCAGTGCAGTAGTCCTCACTACAATTATTTTTTAAAACCTAATTCTTCGTTTATGACTTATGAATGCGCCGTTTTACTTTTCCAACACATTCTAATTCTTTTGAATGAATGTTGCCGTAGATATATCCCCCTCTCGGTTGTCTTTTGGGCTAGCTTCACGGTTGTCAGAGTTCTCAGGGTCAATGAGAGCTTAAAAAATAGAAAAAGATAGGTTGATAGTAGGCAGACATAAATGTTTAAGTGATTGGACAAACAAACAAACTCTAAATTTAGAAACATTAAAAGAAAATATTGATAAGTATAAACTTCATCGTTTTACTTGCAGAAGAGTAGGTGACGATCAGAAATGCCTGTTTCATAAAAGAAATTCAAATTAATTGAACGACATTCCCAATGATCTTGACATAATTAACAACGTAAAATCTAGAAGCATTTATTTCCCAGTACGAATTTAAAACAAGCAATAAGTGTTGTGAATAAAGCAAGATTTAATGAATTCATCAATTTTGGGTAGAACTCTATGGCAGAATACTCTGCATACATTCACACGTGCCTCTTTGAATGATTAATTCAATGTAGTTTATTTGCTTATCAGTTGTATATATTCCAGTGTATTTCCAATAGTATAAATATATCCCTATACGGAAAGTATTCAGATGAAGAGTTCTACCGAAATTTGATGAATTTATTAAATCCTGCTTTATTGACAATACTTGTTGCTTCTTTTAAAAGTAAAAAAATTATACATATTCTACGTGATGAAAGGTAGAGGATGGTTTAATTAACCACTGAAAAGCTATTGGAATCTAGGCTGTAAAGTAAAATTTATCATTCAGAGGTTGGTTTGCAGGGATTTGATTGGTTACAAAATTTCATCATTAGCTGACATCGGTTAGAAAACCATTAGAAAGCCTAAAGCAATCAAGAATTTAAAATTTATCAGTAGAGTCTTAAGGGACACTCAAGGAGTACATATTCAAGGAGGAATTAGAAGTTCTATTGTAACAACAGAAGACAAGGGCCAGGCAACAGATCGTTTTATTATGAAAATCAACACGTATTTATACATCTTTCAACTATATTATTATAGACAAGCGCAGTCATCTGATTGGTTGTTTAGGTAGACAAACGCAGGCTTCTGATTGGTTGTTTCGGGATTCCTTGACAAATAGAGTTCTCTCTGCGAATCATATTCTGCCACGTTAACTTTGCTGTGATTGGTTGTTGACTCAGGCTTGTTCATATTTTCTCACGGCCCATATTAGTGACCTAGACCTTAACGTAGATTAGTGCCAACCAATCGGCTAGCAGCCTGCTCTCACCACACTATGACCTTATTTTATATTTTGAGTTACATAGATAAATTCAGACGTACAAATGAAGCTAAGACACACTGCTTGGAAACATTTATATGTGTGGTTTTGAATAATATATGATAAAGCATCTACTTCATTCACTCATCTAGTTAGCGTTGTCTCAACTACGGGAGGATCTGCTTCTCTTATTTTTGTCATAATTTTTGATGTCTCCAATAATGTTTCTCATTTAAAATTTCCTCGTGTTAAACTGACTTACTTTACCAAAAGTATGTGTGTTAATTTTCCCCTAGGTTCGCTAGTGAAACACAGAGGGAAACGGGTATCAGTATGATACCATGAAAATTTTGCCGAAACACATGAACACTATTGGATTGAAAAACACCTACACCTTAATTGTTTATTTCACAAGAGACAATTAGTTAATACTACAGCTGCCTCCAAAATAATCTACGGAAAACATAATTCGAGATTTCACTGGTTCACCTTAAAAGTTTCACATCTAACAACTTTTTATTCGAAAATACGAAGCAGTTCTCTTTCCTTCAGAGCTTCAGTTTCGTAGCACAACCTCTTTTTTGTCCTGTGATTGTTAATTATTGGCTTCAGTGGGAATTTTTAAACTTTTATTTCGTTCAGATATAAATAGGATTACCTTTTGAGTTTTTGCAGAACTGACTGTAAATGTAATGATATATCTGGAACTACAATAAATAAAACGGTTACAGATTTTGACTATGAAGAGCCACATACAGTCTCCGTTGACAAACTCAGTTGTTTTCAGTTTATTAGGCAGACTACTGAACTTCGAAATTCAGGGAATTTTACTAATGCTTATTCAGATAATCCTAATACTTCTTAGTCTGTTTTTATACTCAGCAGATAATCGTATATCTAGTTATTAAAGACAAATGTACTGTGAATTAATTATTCGAATGAGAAATTCCCTTTCTAAATTCAAACAACCTTAGAATCTGTTCAGGAAAGTTAGTTTTTCATATATATGTATATATATATATATTGGAATAATCGAGATGTGTAGATTAGTATTTTTTGTTGTGGATGTGCTCCTTAAGATGTACTGTTTAGTAACAAAGTTGTTGTTCTTCCAGACATCTTCAGTGCTTACGTCAATAAACGTATACGTATATATATATATATATATATATATATATATTATATCCTTTAATTCCTAGAGGAACATAGAGCTTCAGCTGCGCGTCTCCATTGCCTTCTGTTTTCTGCCAACTTTTTCACCCCCCTCCAAGTCTGCCCACATGCTTTCATCTCCTCCTCACATGACCTCCTCCAAGTCACCCTTGCACTGACGACCAACTGGCCGCTTCCCTTTCGGGTACCACTCGAGCGATGGCTGAAAATTCCATACCCGTACCACAAATACCATTTGAAATAAAGCTGTTATTATTATTATTGTCTAGTGATGTCACTTGATGGCTTCCTCAGAGTATGGCCAATCCATCTCTATTTCTTCCTGCCTATTTGTGTCACAATCGGTTCCTGGTTGGTTCGCTCATTGCCAGAGATCCCTGTTGCTGGTCTTTTCTAGCCGGCCATCTGATCTTGAGTATTAAGCAAAGACATCTGTTAATGAAGGTCTGTAGTTTGTTTGAGGCGTTCTTTATGATGCGTTGGCCAAGTCTCTGATCCGTATGTTAAGTAGCACTGACTTCACATTGGAATTGAAAATCTGGATCTTATTTTTGATGCTGAATGCCGTTGACCTCTACACAGACTTAAGAGTAATGAAGGCTTGTCTTCCTTTTCTGATTCTGGCTTTGACATCCTCGTCAGTTCCGCCTGTAGTTGAGACGATGCTTCCCAGGTAGGTGAAGGAGGTTGTTTCTTCAGGTTCCTCCCATTTATGCTGGCTGATTGTTGTCTGTTATTGTTGTTGCTGTTGTTGTTGGCCGGGAATCTTCATCACCTCTGTTTTATCTATGTTCACTTGAAGTCCTATCTTCTCTGGATGCTTCTTCTGCCAGGTTGTTGCTTTTCACTTGCATATCTTCCAGTTTGTGGGAAATCAAACTTATATCATCAGCGGAGTTCAGATCCTCCAAGTATTTTGTGTCAGTCCATTTTATGCCTGTTTCCTCATTGCCCGTTTTCTGTCGCATTATCCAATCTACTGCAATCAGGAAAATCATTGGTGATAGTAGGCAGCCTTGTCTCACTCCCGTCCTCCCTTCGAAGGCTTCCGTAAGTTTCCCGTTATGGATTACTTGGCTTGCAGCATTGTCTTATAACTGTTGGATGAGATGTATAATTGTCGATGGGACCCCGTAGTAGCGAAGTATTTGCCAAATCACCTCTCGATCGACGCTGCACTGTCGAAGGCCTTTTCAAAATCGATGAATTTGAGATAGAGAGGTGACTTCCATTCCAAGCTTTCCTCAATGATGATCCGTAGTGTGGCGATTTGATCAATACATGACTTGTTTCTCCTGAATCCAGCTTGTTCCGGTCAAAGTTTTTCATCCAGGTTGGCTTGTTTGATTCTCTCCACGTTGATGCGGCTTGGTATTTTGCTTGAAATGGACAGGAGCATAATTCCACGCCAGTTTTTGCATTGACTTAAGTATCCTTTATTTGTTAGTTTCAATAAGTATCCTTTCGTCCAATCTTCATGTACTTCGCCCTCTTTCCACACCTTCTCCATCAGTGGCGTCATCAGGTCCGCTGTTGTCTCTGGGTCTATTTTCAATGCTTCTGCTGGGATTCCATCTGGCCCTGCTGCTTTTCCAGCTTTTAGCATTTTGATTGCCTTCAGGACTTCTGATTTCGTCGGAGATGGGTTGATGTTCACTGGTAATTCTGCTTCCGTTGTTGGTATTGTAGGGCGCGTTGTAGGTGGTAGACGATTTAGAAGTCTTTTGAAGTGTTCAGCCCAGTGTTTTCCTTGCTCCACATCTTTGGTGATTGACTTTCCATTGTCATCCTTTACTGACTTAATCTGTGTCGAAATTTCGCCCGATAGGTGCCTAGTTGTTTCGTAGAGTGTGGCGTGGTCTCCTTTGCGCACTGCAGCTTGTTCCGTTTCACTTCCCATGGCTTCATAATATTTTCTTTTGTCTTCCCTGGCACTCTTCTTCACTCTTTTGTTCAATGTATTGTAGCTTGCATTCAACTCCCGTTTTTGTTGCTCGTCGGTGCACTGGATAATCTTCTGTTTCTACATCCTTCTCTCCTCTATTAGTTTCCAAGTGTCCGCAGTGAGCCACTGCTTGTCCTGCCTCTTCTTTCAGCCTAGAACTTCCATGCAGGTTTGACTCCAAACTGTTTTCAAGTTGTTCCAGTGCTTTTCGATGCCGACCTCTTCGCTAGTGTTGATTTGTGTCTCGGCTTTGTCCCTTATGCATGCAATGAAGATGTCCTTTGTAGCCTGATCCTTCAGTTTTTGAGTGTTGAACTTAGCTTGTGGTCTCTCTGCAGCTCCTGTTTCTTAAAAAGCTTTTAATTTGATTTGGATTGTCCCTTATACGAGATGGTGGTTTGAGCCAACGTCTGCTCCTCTTCTTACTTTTGTGTCCAGTAGGCTGCGCCTCCACTTCCTTGAGCACCACTGAGATGGGGTCAATTTGGTTTTTGGTTTATCCATCTGGTGACACCCATGTAGCCTTGTGGATATCTTTTTGTTTGTATACGCTGCTACCAATCACCAGTTCGTTGAAGGCGCAGAAGTCGTCGAAGAGTTCTCCATTTTCATTCGTTTCTCCGAGAGCTTCTCTACTCATGATGAGTTCCCTTTCTGTGTTGTCTGGTCCCAGTTTGGCATTCACATCTCCCATTAGTATTTTAATGTCACCAGCTGGCGTATTATCCATTGTTGCCTGTAGTTGTCTGTAGAATTGTTCTTTCTTTTCGAGGTCTGCATAACATTGTATAATTGACACTTTCTTTCATTTGGAGTTGAATCTGGCGGTCATTATCCTGGATAAGATCGCCTCCCATTGCGTCGAGGCCTTTGTTGCCGTTGGTGACATCATGATAGCCGCGCCCTCGGTGTGCGTGTGGTTATCTTCTGGGTGACCGGAGTAGACCACTGACTCACCCGTTGACAATTTGGTGAGTCCATTCCCGTTCCATCTACTTTACATATTCCCAGTACTTGGATTCCGTATCTTTTCATCTCGTTTGCGAACTGGGCAGCTGTCCAATGTCGTACATGGTGCGGACGTTCTACGTCCCCACACAGACTTTTTCTTTTGGCGCAAGGAGACTCATCGTGCTAAAGTTTCTGTAGCAACTTTGTTTACAGGGTGGGGTTGCTAGCCTTACACCTGAGAATACATATATATATATATATATACATAATGAATATTTGAATCTGAAGTGTTCAGAACTCAGAGGGTATGAGTAGAAGTCCTGCTCAGCCCACGTATATCCTTAAACACTCCGAGTTTAGTTTATTCCCTTGAATTTATAATCAATTTGTGTTAAATCCTAATCTCAGGAAGATATGCGTCTTATTAAACTAAGTATGCAGAGCTTCTGTTTAACTTATCAGACAACATTAAATATTATTCATAGTTTATCTGTATAACTCTGTCAGGTTAAATCCAATTCGGGAATTAAAAATTAATTGTCGTTTTGCGATTTACACAGTTTGAGATGAAATTGCACCTCAGTTTAATAGGTTAAACTCTATAAATTTGGTAACTAGTAAGCAGAAATTAGGAATCACGAACTCTGTTTTATGTGTGTAAGTAGACACTCCTAACGAAAAACTTTTTTGGCCAAAAACAATGCAGATCACCATTCATAACGTTTAAAAGTAGTAACATTCTACTACAGTTAGCAAGAAATACCGAAATTCTTACCGCATCACCTCATATGCCTAATAGACAAAGTCGGTACAAAGGTTTATTAATGTATCATTATGTTTACTCTCAAACAATTACTAATTACAATTAACTACAGGTTATTAAGTCACAAGTGCTTCCTATAAGTGGTTCATTCGATTAAACAGTCGAAATTATCCGTATCGTTTCACTGCATTTCAAAATTATACTATTTCGAAGAACAAATAATAATTTTTTTGTGATTACAGCTTGATTCCACACCGTATTTTTGGTACAAGTATGGAATTTTCAGCATGGATATCGGTAGCCAAAATTTTGCAGGCTGACCATAGATATCAGGTGTGCGTCGTCAGGGGATCGAACCTCGAACCATGTGCATGGTCGGCGAGAATCCTAACCACTGTGCCACCGACGCACAATAATAATAATGATATAATAATAATAATGATATACGATTTTCATCAGTGAAATTTTGAGATATTACTCACTTGGACTATTCAGACAATTGTTATGTTGAGTAAGTCGAGGAGTGCACAAGTATTTCAACCGCTTTATATAAAACACAAAAAAGAAACATATATTCAACATTATGACCACAATAATACAATATTTCATTTATACTATTCATTGCAAATTTCAAATGTGTATGAATTTCATTAATTTTTGTTGACTAATACTTCAGTAATTTTTCTTTAGTAGAGGAGATAAAAGAATTATGTTCTTCAAAATAATACACTGTATAACATTTATCTCTTTATTCGCCTCAAAATTCTAAATTTACGCTTTTAACATATTCTGTATCTATTATTCATATAAACGATATTCCTATTTTCAAGCGCTTTCAGTTTTCATGATAATCATTTATGAAACTAATTTATTACTTCATGTACTAAGATTGTATAGAACTATGCCTCTCAGTTTATCCATTATTTTTCATGGCTCTTGATTTCACGTTTTGTTACATACTGATATGAATAATAGACATTTATAGGGACTTTCATGACTATTTGATAAAAATTCATAACCGTACAGCTTTCAGGCAAAGCTATGAAAAGTAAATTCCTTACAGACGTAACTTACAGACAATAAGTATTCTTTCAGCGACATAACTAGTTTTCTGTGAATACCTTTCAAGCTCCTATCTAATGGAAATGTTGAGTAAGTGATCTATTGATTTTAAACAGAAAACGACTTAATAACCGTACAGCAGTATTTAAATAATCTCAAACAACAGTTATCTTATTCTAGGGGAACAAGAAACAATAAAATAATTAAGCAGTTTCATTTGAAATTACATCTCAAGTTTCGGGACTACACCACTGTTATCGAAATCCCCTAGCTGTCGATACTATTTAAGCGAATGACCCACTAGCTAAATTTAGACAAACAAACTATTTTCTACTAATGCATGAAAATAAAATTGTATTTATTACATTATTAGACAATCAGCGGTTTCATTTTTCACTCTTTGTCTATGCATGGTATGTCAGAATAAGCGCTTTGAAATATTTTTAATATTGTATAATATTTTCGGAATAATTTCAGTCGGTTATAAAGCTATTTTTAGCTACAACTTCAACGCTATGATACTATTTCCCTCTTTTAACTTTCAGAAATCACTTGCACACGTGCACATAGACCTGAATTCCCTGTCATTTGGCTGATAACGTGGAATACCGAGACGTACAATAAAAAAAACCTGGAATTTCTGGCAGAACAAAAGAAGCAGTAATCTGCACTGATATATCTGACATTTCGAACAGTTATGAGGAATATACAAAATACAACTGACGAAAACAGTAAAAGGTAGTAGAGTAAAACAAGCAAAATTTTATTTGTAAGTGATAATCTTTTACTCGAATTTTATGAAGTGAAGTCAGTTATTTGAAACGTCAGATGCATACAAAATCTGGCATGTCTAATGACGTAAGTGATTCATTTATAGTTCTAGCTTAATAAGGCTGTCAAAACGCTGTATTCTAATTATTTCTTTTTAACTGATTTTGTAGTACATTTGTGTTAACGTGGGACGAATATGAATACATTTAGAAATCTACAATACATTTTCACGTCGCAAGAAAATACGTCAAAATTCAATTTCTGTCTGTTTGATAAGTAACTTTTGTTATCAAAAGTCTAAAGTAAATATAGACCTTAAAAGTTCTGGAAATTCTTTGTATCCCAAGATCGAACTATAGAAACGAAAAGACGTTTTCTCAAAAATACGAATAAATCGACCAGATTCGCAGAGACCTTAGCGTGAACAAAGTACTCTTCCACTTTCTGTTAAATTAGAAATAGAGCTTAAATTTGCAACAGTGAACCAATATGTCAAGAAAATTTTAAAAAATATAATAATTTCAAAATTTCCATCTCACGTCAACTATATCTATGTAAATAAGAAAAACAGAAAGAAGAAAGCTGCTGGTGTTACTCCTAACCACCTCCCCCCTCCGAACATACTACAGCCTAGTGAACTAGACGAGGTTTAACAGTGCGTCCATCAGGAGTAAAGCCTGAACCTCTGGTGGGAATAGCGAGAATTCTGCCAGTAAACCATCCTGGACCATGAACAGCGATTAGTTTACAAATACGCCAAAATACATTAGGTCATAAAAACCATCAGACAACAATGTCAATATTTTGCATCAAAATAATTTTCTTAAATAGGCGTATTAATAACAAAAGCAGAATTGTCAGCAGAGTTATGACACAAACAGAAGTCTGAAATTCCAGCGTTTTGATAAAGAAACATTTTCGGTTGAATAAGAAAACGAAGAAGATAAATAAGTTCCCAAGACTCTAGTAAATGATGGATGTATTCCATGTTGACAAGCATGAAATTCTAGCCTAAAAAGTATCACTGAATGAACTAAAATTTTTTCCATCTCAAACAAGATTTATTGAAAAATCAAGCCACAAAGCTTAATTAGTTTTTCACGTACCCTTAACTTTAGAGTGTATTCAGCACTTACAAATGAACGGTTATTATATCTTTCTGTCATACTTACAAATATAGTGGATAAAGAATAAAAAGCCCAAAATGGCTCAGAGGATTCCATCTAACCCTTGAAATGAATTTCGCATTCATCTGTTGCATTTGTTTGTGACTACTGACATTGAAACTGACAATGCTTGACTATGTATCTGAAGAACGTTCATGCAAACATAATATCTCCCTTGATAAAGGAATATTTAACTAATTTTTCCACGCTGATAAATTCTCAGTCTCTTTCCTACCATCTTTAAGAGCCATTTCATAGTCTCGGAATCTTTTTATTTGAAACTGTTATCTACTTCAATTCACTGCTGTATTACATAATCTTTTTTATTTGTTTCCTAAAGTTTTCTGTAATGTGCACGACTGAATTTTTAACAGCACTGAGTTCTAATCCATTATGTCTGTTTAAGAACTGGTTTGTATAAACATGCTAGTTTTATTATTCTTATCGAAAATTTGTTTTTAATACACACCACTGTTAATATCAGTGTTATAATGACTGAAATTATAATTCATAACAACCTTATTATTATATATTGACCAAAGCAAACCATGTTAATTACGTAATTTTTTTTAAACTTTTGCCTTTTATTTGGTTAGTTGTAATTAGAGAGGGACCGATGCGGTCAACAAATGATTCTGATAATTTATTCAAACTCTGTATAACCAATGAATAGCTGTAGCAGTGATCACAAATGGTAAATAAAAACACTTAGATGGACTTTATACTTTCAGTAACACTAAGATTATCAGTACACCAGCTGACAGTATTTTGTGCAATGGCTCATGTTTTCACAGTTCACATCTACACATGAGGTAGGTAGGTGATATAAATAAAAAAGTGAAAAAATTAATTTCAAATGTGATAGCACTTCATTGAATTAAATATGGAAGACAAAGCAAAGAATTCATAAAGTGAAAATCGGCCGAGAAATTTTGTGTGCTCTTATGACAGATTCTGGACTACAACTGTAGACTGCAACCATAATTTCCAGTTGTTATTTGAATCCTGGTTCAGTAAACCCCTTTTTTCTGTGCGTTTCATGTAAAAAAAAATAGAGAATTAGTGAATTGAAAGCAAGTCTCCTACCCACAACGTTTTATTTTCCTTTAAAATAATCCTACTTCGACCAGTAGAACTCACTGAATCATGTGTATAGATATGTGTAACACCCCAAGCTATAAAGGTTTATAACGTTTATATATGACGATGGAAATACATGAACGAGATGATTTTCTAACTTGATGAATATAAATACATTTTAATATCAAGATGTTTTTGTTAGTTTGTGTCAGGGTTATGTGAATGAATGTGGCCATACAGATGGTACATTTGAATCCTAAAAGGATAGAGTACGACTGATTTACAGTCAACATAGTACACATCAGATCTTTAGTTCTTCATTCCGTTACTTATGGCCAAGAAGTTTGCCTCCAAGTTATCTCACAATAAGAGATGTGAGTAGTATAGGAAGAGACATCTTTGGGAATCAGTGGCAATTTGTTTGTCTATGGAAAAGTCAGTGTAGGAGAAACTTCGGAAAATAGTCACGACAGCGAGAAGAATCTGACAGAAAATAGATACAGAAGCACTGTTGTTCGCAAACTGAGCCATTAATGTAAGGTTTACAATTTTCTTCGTGCCCAATTGTTTTGTACTGATTGGTATTTTTTCTGCCTTCTCCAGTCTTCTTCAACAGTGACTTCCTCAATATTTTGAAAGATGTTGACCAAAATCTGTAAATCAAATGACTAGTTAGTTTCACAGAAGTAATAAACATTACAGAGAGAGAGCAGAAACGCTTTATTACAGATTAATAAAGCTATTTCACATTAGAACAGCGTTCAATTTATAAACATATGGCTTACGATAAAAGGTTCAAAAGATAGACAAAACTCTGTAAATCCCTATATATCACTAGTTTTATCATAACGCTTCAAACCAATACAAATGACGAAAAAAGTTCTGCATTCAAAACAACAAAGATGTGAAACATATACCTACCTCAATAAAGGATCCTGGTGTTCTGATTAGTTCTACAATCATAACAACAGGAATTAGGAATAAACTCGAACTGGCCATCATCCAGCCTAATACCACAGCCCATTTAGGGAAGTGATAAGGTTCTGGCGAAACAGCACGCATGTATGTAAGTTCTTCGTACACAATTACACTAAATATAAACAGAACCTAGGTAGGACAATAGATAAACAAATTTAAAGTTAGTCAGAAAGAACAATAAACTCAGCTGATGAAACAACCATTTACATAGTCAACTAAAGTTGGAACTTTTGTGTGTAAATACAGTTCATCTAGTAATCTACGCTATTGAAAATGTTTAGTAGTCTTTGCAAACTATGTACTTTATGAAGAAATGAGGTTCTAGATAAAACAAGTTATTAGTTTTACTTTGGTTTGTTTCGATTTGATTTCCTAGTCACTCAGAATTTTATGGAATTATTTAGCATAAAAGCAATTTTCGACAGTGACTGGCATGCACCGCTTTTGGTTTTAAGGTGAGAAAGTTGGATAGATTCGCTTAGATGTACATATCAGAGCTGATGTTTTGGGCTAGAAAAATTCAAGTTTTTGTGGCTAAACTCTTGTTAGTTCACAGATAATAGAATGTTATGGGTGGGGGTTAATAATAGTTTGGTAGTAGAAAGCTTGCTGTTCCTAGTGTAATCGAGAGACAATATGAGACGGTATGATGGAGTAATTTCGATCTCCTTATTGAGCAACGTAGAACGGCTGGTTTGATGCATATGTTATGTTTCACATCATCATCAGCTTTTAACCTGAAATCGCAGCAGGTGTCAGGACAAAATAAAAAACCACGTATTTTGATATGGTTTAATGACCTCTAGAGACAGGTGTCCACAACAAGTGAACCCTCCTTGAGTAATTATAACGCTAGTTAAATCTCTACTAATCTATACATGTTGTCAGTACGAAGTATATACTGACAGTCTCAAAGGCAATTGCATGTGATGATGAGATGAAGGCGTGTCACTGACGCCTTATTTTCCAATCAGAAAGTAAGGTGTAAGTAATAATAATGTTATTAGACATGCCTATCCCATAGCCCTAAATGGTGACGGAACACACTGTCATCCGAAAAACCCAAGGAATGGTCTCTCCAGTCGAGGTCTCAGATAAGAGTGAATACGTCTGCACATTAACTGACTGGGGGGTTGACGGTCATTTTACTGGTAAAATTTTAGTTTCTTCAACCTAAATGACTTCATCAGGATACGAACATATTTTCATCATTAGGAAACCATTTCAGTAGATACATGGGTTTGAACAAAGAAAAGAGAAGAAAGTGAGCAAATGTTTTTTTTTCTGTGTTCAAATTTATAAAAGGAATCGTTTTATGAGATACATGGGTTGAAGAAAAACATCGTAACCTGTTTTACATGCAACACTATACACTGCCTTAGTGAAGTCAGCTTGAAAATGCTCTTAAGCCATCGTTATCAGAATACATTCCTAAAATCATATGCACATAATAAGCTATAGGAGTGTGAAAGAAGTGAAATTATTTATCAGGTTTGATTATGGATTGATATCAGTTACAGAACTAATGGAAACCATGTATTACCGGACAGCTGTTTCGCCCAAGTCTGGGACTCATCGTCAGCACACAAACCCATAGACCACTCAACCACTGAGATCGAAACCAAATGGCCCATGAATTCTAACTTCGACCACTTTGTCATTTTATCACGACTGACACCAGCCATTGTTATCGCTAGTAAGTATTTGTTCTCACCCCCGACTGGTTGAACCTAAATGGTCACCACCTATCACTAAAACTCCTGTCAAATTCGTCCTGTAGCCTACCAAGACTGAGCATCAGATTAATTTTCAAGTGTTTGGAAATTAATTTTATTGTTTGATGAAACAGGCATATGCTGATAACTGATAAATATGTGAATATCGTGTATATGTATGCCCACAGATACGGTATGCCTTTTTGATTAGACCTTTGAAAGAAAGAAGTAACAGTGGAATAAATAAAAGAGAACTAGAAGCAGGCGTAGAAGAAATCGAATGTGGTTGCCTATGTTGTCTAAGAATCTAATTTAAAAGTAGATAAAGTGAAAAATAAACAAGGGTACTTCATGATACAAGTTAACCTTGAACATGCTAAATGTCAACAGAAGAAATTATGTATATATATAAGGGTGAATAATTCCTAATAATCATTCAGCTTCATTTCATTTTTAGAATATTTTTTGCAAAGCTGTCTAAGGAGTTACTTATGAGTAGTATTTGAAGTGGACTGAGAAAAATTCATTGGCACATACTACTTCAATTAACTATAATAGATAGGCAATTCAAACTTGATTTTCACATACCATTGTAAATAATGGTGTTATAATGCACAGGTAAAAACAGCAAAACCACTTCAAAGAAAAGCCATACATTGATTTCATGTCATCAGCAAAACGCTTCCAACCTGAAATAAGTCAAAAGTGAGAAAAATAACAAGTCACTAAGAGATTCTATTATAAAATATGGATGTTCATGCTGATGGCCAACTAACTACTAATAAATCAAATATATTCGTTAAAAACGTTAATAACTTAGTCAACAAAAGCATAATTCATTTCAAATGATGTATCAGTGTTTTGGCCTTTTCACTCGGAACAATAAACTCATGAATCGATTTCAGCATACTCTTAGTTGATTGTTTCGCCTTACTTTACACATAAAGTGTGATACTACTTCACAGTGTTATGCCATATGTTCTTCATAATTAGTATCTTTAATAAAACTACCCACACACTGTAATTCATCAACTAGAAAACCAGTGATGGGATAATGTTTACTCATCAAGTCTTCGTCAACCTTAATCGATGAACAGTGATGTTACCAACACACATCGAATTAAATTATGTACATGGAGTTATGAAATCAACTTGATATAATCAAGCCTTTTGCAATCCGCAGAATTGTTTTTCTGAAGAAGCTCAATAAAACATTCTCCATTATTTCATTCAAACTTTCGAATAATCGTACTCTATTGTCTTACATAGTTCATTTAATCAATCTGATGATATTAGATTGTTGGAGGCAATCGGCCACAGGAACCCATGGACCCAGGTTTCGTGCTAGTTGGCATTCACTCGTTAACAAAGCGTATCTGCAAGGACTAGACACATCACACTAATTATTGGTGTCCAATCAAAGTAGCCACCACAGTCTTACAGGAGATCAAACGCCAGCCTGAATCGCTCAGTGGTAACATCTCCGACTACAGTACCCACTGGGTGAAGCGGTTCGAATCTCAGGAGGGACATGAATTCCTTCGAGGTTGCAGATACGCCTTGTTGACGAGTGAGTGTCAACTAACACGATACCTAGGTCCATGGCTTCCTGTGGCCGATACCTCCAACCATCTAATACCACGGAATGTACACATTGGGTCATAGGAGTTTATAAGAAGACAATTGCAGCGAAGAAACTTTTTCTTTTCGACGAAGTCATCATGATGCTACTTTGTTTGTTTTATCCATCCCCCCTGTTTATTATGGCATTCTAATTCTTAATTTTAATTTTTATTAATTTGACCCTTGACCGGATATTATTCTGGAACTTTCCCATCCATTTGATATAAATATGCGAATGTACAGCCTAGATGATGACTTCGTCAAAAAGAAAATTTTCTTCTCTGCAGTTATCATCTAATATCATCAAATAAATGTTCACTGTGATGGCGAGCTACCTAGAATGATGCAACATTACAAATATGACTGAGAGAATTCAGTCTGCAGCAAGAATAGGACTAGACACATCACACTAATTACTAGTGTTCAATCAAAGTTCATTTAATTGTTCATATCAACATTTATCACTCAACAAGGATTCCCAGTTGTATGCTAATAATAAATAACTAATAATCTATTATTACATAGGTGATTGCAAAGGATTATCGTTCCATATCTCTACTTTATTACAGACTAACTGATGCAACCGATTTAACAAGTTACTAAGAAAATAGATAGATATGCAAAACAGGTGTTAACTAAAATTAATATCACTGTCTGTCTTATTATGTAAGTGCTTGTATTCATCAACAAGTTATAAACAAAACTTTTTACTGATTCTTGTACTTAATACATGCAGTAGGGCAAAAACACTATGGTGAATACCATGATATTTCAAACTGATAAAGAATTTCATAGCCGGTAGATACCTAAAGCCGTAAAGCTTTTTTGTTTTAAAAACCATTAATCTTCATCGAAAATCTTGCAATCTACCCAGACATGAATGTTTATTTTCAAATGTGTCCTTATACAGTGTTAGTAGAAATTATGAGATTTGCTCGATAACTATGCAATTTTTTCCAACCACATGAAATACAGGTTGAAACACATCAAGGTCATAACATCACAATTGACTGACAGGCTGCAATTCAACCGAAACAAATTTATACAACAATGAACAGGTACCTGAGTTAGTTAGTTACCTCAAAAATTTACTTTGAATGATATTTTATGCCTCAACTGTAATATATCTGCAAACAACGTTTGTATAACTTCTTCTGAGTAAAACTAATGATAGGCACAAATTTATAGTTTGCTCAAAGCTCAAAGGTTAGTTGATTGTATTTGCGAAAAGTTGTTGATAATCTGAAGATGACAACTGTTAATCAATATAATTTCGTCCCCTACAAACTAGTGTCTCAAAAAGTAAGCTGTTTCCATCAAGGCCACTAGCGAGCTGTGTTGATGAGTACTACGAACTTATAGGGCTTTCAGTCAACAATTTTCAAATCTCTAACAACTAACCTATTGTTTGTCAAGGCGACTCTGTAAATAAAGGCCAGATTAAATGACCTCAGTATGAATAAGTGTTATGAAAAAGACTTTATTCACAAATGTTAGAAGTACTGAATCTTACCGTATACATATCCAATTACGACACATTCCATAAATGTAACAAGTAATATAATACGGCTACCCGAATAATAATCAAATAACTGAAATATGTACATACCACCCTAAAATGATATTGAAAGAAAACAACCCAAGGGCATTAGGTTAGATTAAAACAAGTTAGTATGAAATGACTTAAATATTCAATGTATAGATATACATATACTGTGGAGACATGTAAGAGTATTCAAGGTGAGGTAAAGAAGTTCGAAAACCACACAGTAGTAATCTTTAAGTTGCCTAAAGGCAAACTATGCAATTAATAGCAGCAAGCGTATTCATATTTTGAACTTATTCATCCCCTTTTGATTTTAAGCAGGACAGAACGTCTTCCTCATAAATAATTAAGTGGACTTTCTTTTTCATTTAGAATTCCTACAGGCAAAAGCGAAAAATTGTTCTGCCTAAAGGATATACAATTAGCATAAATTAATTGTGTTTTTAGCTGAGGTTTCTTAGTAAGATGTGTGGTTAGCTCAAATGAAAAATTTGGAACTCCAATATTGGTCAGTGCGTAATAATGGACACTGTAATAGACAATAATTCCGTAATAAACAGTTTCATCTGATGTGGTACTATTGACTGACTAGCGATATGAGCACAGTTTGTTATCAGTAATCATAATCATTTCTTCCACCTGTTTAGCATTGTTGTTTCGTCATTTCTACTGCACTTTTTCCAAAATGACTCAATGAACAGAGATAAAACTGTTTACGGCACTGGCCAATAGTAATACTTCCTGTTAAGCTACAGTTCAAAGTTTCACTTCTGAAATATATCTGTTATTCAGCTGTATTGCAAACGTGGGGTTTTCGTCCGATATCAAAAACATCACCAATTAAGTAACACAATCCTCAATTACAACGAACGCTGGACTACTTGGTTAATTTGGTAGCTTTCGGTAGGAATCACGTTAATAGGTTTAAGACACTTAGCTACTACTTGTTAGGACGAACAGTCAATCTAAAAAGTTATATGCTCGTACCACTAAGTATAGAAATTCTACAATACCCTGTTTAGCCCTTACTTTATGTGATGAAGACTCTGTTAGATGTGAAACACATAAGTTGCTATGTAATTAGCACAGTAAATCGACCCTTTCATAGTTCATCTTTCTGTATTTTATGGTATCACACTTCTGTTGTTTAATTATTACTCTGCTATTTTATTTAGTTGGTATTACTATTATTACTACAATTTTATACTTTATGCATATTTTTCACCGTATTGCATACAGTATTTTACTATGTAGCTGCTGTAACAATCGTTTTATTATTATTATGTAATGTGTATTTATAACTTTTTTGTCGTTTTTGAGTAAATTAGATGCAATATTGTACTGAAAGCTGAAAATTCCTTGCTGTATCATTAGTACTGTTTTGGAATAAAGCCATTATTATTATTATTAATCAATGATTGAAACTGTTAGTGGTATGATTCGAAAGTGTCCGCACTGGCACACACCTACTAGGTCCATGTGATCTTTCTTCTTATCCCGTTTTTAAACTATTCAGTTCAAGATTTGGTAGTGTGAAATATTCCCATATAATGAAATAAAAGTCAATCTGAACGAAGAATATTCTTTTCAATAATTTCTCTTCAGGTTCTTACAATTATAAAAATAATATTTGTTGTCGTTACAACAATAGCCATTTATACGGCGGATACATTTTTTTAATACGTAGAATAACAGATTAGTTATGGGGTGTCACAATAAATAGTCGTATTTGTGTAACAAACGTGCTAGGCTGAAATCGATTACCAAAATATTGTAAAACGGGAGACAATGGTGGTGAATAATCATAATAGATTTGTAGAGTGTGGGGTAGGAAAATTGACAAGTCAGTTCAAGGTTATAAAAGGTGTCAGGTGAGTGGCTAGTACAAAGTGGTCTGTGTTAAACAGAAGATAGCTGAAGCTGTTGCAATAAGATCGACTAAACCGGAACTTTGTATCCAAAATGAACACGTCCAGACGCTGTTCTTACCATGGCCAAACTTGAATTGATGTTTCTTCTTCTCACCAAGAGTGCCCCTTCCCATTAACCCTTTTGGTTTTTTTCCTTTGCTTATTATTACAAATATTATTACAATTACTATTATTAGAGTTATTATTATTATTCATAATTTATGCCCTTCATGCAAACATTCCCTCATACTATCGAATTTTTCATTTATACTATCCGGACTTATTATTAGTGATATTATCTCTTTTCTCAGTATATGCGTCCACCTGTTTCATTTCACACGTTCGTTATTTCATGATGAACTTCTCGTTACAGTCTTAGTGTCTCCACTTTAACACAGACCACTTTGTACTAGCCACTCACCTGACAACTTTTATAACCTTGAACTGACTTGTCAATTTTCCTACCCCACACTCTACAAATCTATTATGATTAATCACCTCCATTGTCTCCCGTTTTACAATATTTTGGTAATCGATTTCAGCCTAGCACGTTTGTCACACAAATACGACTATTTATTGTGACACCCCATAACTAATCTGTTATTCTACGTATTAAAAAAATGTATCCGCCGTATAAATGGCTATTGTTGTAACGACAACAAATATTATATTTTATAATTGTAAGAACCTGAAGAGAAATTATTGAAAAGAATATTCAGTTCAAGGCTGACCTCAAATAGTAGCACGACTTGATCTGTGTCACTAACCTAAATTTGAAACTACAAGATTGAAAACATTTTTATGCGTCGAAACTGCCAGGAAAATAAACCGTGGCTTAATTTTCTCTAGAGTTATGTTACTATTTTTGAGTTAAGGGACTTAGCTATGAATCTTTGAGCAAATTAAAATTCTCATTAGGAAATTGGAAAGAAAAGAACACGAAGTTCAGCAAAGATATCTTTTCAGCGATTTCATTTTCAAAATCTGTACAATCGCATTTAAATACATACTTGTACACAGATACAATTTTTACTTGATTCCACATAATTACGAAGGCGAATACATCCTAATCCTGTGTAATTTTTGTTTCACACCTCCCAACTTCCATTTCAGGTTGAAAATTATTATTCCAATTTGTTTCTATGCTCATTTTGTTCACACCTGTAATTTGTTCTAATCCTGTATAAATTAGTTTCTAAGCCTCTCGTAAACCATATCTAGTTGAAAATAATTGTAACCTTTTATTCGCCGTAGTAATTATATGGAATCAAGTAGAAATTGTATCCGTGTAAAATTATGTATTTAAATGCGATTGTACATTTTTTGAAAATGAAATCGCTGAAAAGATATCTTCACTGAACTCCGTGTTCTCTTCTTTCAAATTATAATTTCCTGAGAACTAAAAACTACTTTACTGAAGCTTGGTAACAGCTCAGGACTTTTCACTGGTTTACTCTGGCTAGCCAATGTCTTTGTGGTCTCGTTTCAATGCAATGGACAATAAGTCAAAACATGATATGGTTTACTTAACTTGTGTTTATGGAAGATCAATAAAATAAAAACATCGATATGAAAAGGCAGAAAGATTACTATCACACATGTCATGTCAAAATACACTGATCATTTCGGTGACGGAGGGTAGATAAGTAATTTTTGATCAGTAAGTGCAACACATACACACAAACACACCGTAAAAGTAAAGTTAATTTACACAAGCTATTTTTTTTATTCATCTGGTGAACAAAATACTTGTGAAGGCAGTTTTGAATTAGCTTATGCTTGCCTTCTATGGAACAAACACAGTTACACATAAGAGCAAATACATCCTATATGTTGTTAGGCGAGATATCTGTAACACAAAATGCTTCATACAATAAGTGTAATCATATGAAGAAAAGTCGAAATTAGTTTTCACAGCTCTCTCATTTTTGCATACCCTAAGGTTATTATGCAATAAAGATAATCTATGGTATGTTAGTGAACAAGAAAAAAAATCTAGTACACTGATTGTCTAGTCAATTGTTTGACTAGTGAAATGTGTAAAAACTGTCGGTCGATAGACACACCAGTATTACGTAAACATAAAGCATACTACGCCTACTGAAATATATAAATCATGAAGACTGAATTCCTTTTTTTTCTCTCTACTTTTTATCAACTAATAATTTCGTTTTTCATTTATCTAAATATAAAATTCAGAAGAGATAAATTCAATCATTTATAAAATACTGTCAGATGAGAAAGCTTCTACTGTTCACTTTATAGAAGTAAAGATTCAAGCAAAAAGAAAAGAATAGAAAATACCACATACCGTTCGGTTAGAGGTTGTAATGAACTAACACTCAATGACATTCTAGGTTACAGATATGTTATGATTAAGACGCATCTTAATATAAGGGAAACTAAAACCCAAATCAGGTAAAAATGGTTGTCTAGAAACGCGATAGCACACTTTGCTCAGCAGCGATCTAGAAAACCGAAGCAACACCATCTCCCAGAGAGATTATTCCTAATCAATTCCACTGCATGATATCAATTGCTTACAGCCTAAATAAATTATTAAGTTTATGCAGAGAAGAGTTTTAACATACTTGATAATTTTACATGACCTCAGTTGACAGTAATTTCCAAACGTAGTGTACAATGCTCAGAAAATTACACTTATATAGTTTTTACACAGGCAGTTAAACGCCTAACCTCGTCTAGATTACTAGCTCGCTAGTTTTCTAGCCGGTCCCAAGCCCGGATAAAGATGGAGGGTTGGGGCGTTGTGCTAGCAACTCCACCCCCAAAACCTAACCAAATCGCTACAGAAACTTCAACGCATAAATATATTAAAAAATATTATTCACAAATAAAAACAAATACTTACATTAGTTACCATAAACAAACCAATAGCATAGGAGATAATACATGTTGCTGCAACAAAGCTAACCCTGTACCAGGTGTTGGATATCATTTGAGGAAAGTAATCCGAAATAGCTGCAATGAAGCCTTCCACTCCACCGAACTAAAAGCAAACAATTTAATACACAGTCTGTAAATATTTATACAGGTTTCAAAGCTAACTGCTGCTAATTTTATGCAATGTCTACTAAAAAAAACGTGTGAGTGACACAATACGTTCCAATGAGTTGATTTATCCAGCTGAATGATTTTCATTTCATATTAGTACATCTTTATTGATAGAAGCAGATCCTAAGGATTGTAAACACACATTTGCTATACATTATCAGTGTGCACTGAACTGAAAATCCATTCTGTATAAAACTTCTGGATACATTTATTTTCTAGTCATCAGATGAATTTAGCGCTAAGATAATTTACTATAACAAATGGCGTAAAACTTGAAAACGGGAAATTGAAGGACATCATCAAGGAGTTTGATATGTATTACCGATATGTTGATGATATATTTATCTTAGCTGATGGGAATGTTAACATGGACGAATTGTTGCTGAAATTCAACAGCGTCCACCCTTCGCTTACCTTTACTTGTGAAGAGGAACAAGAGAATAAAATGCATTTTCTGGATGTCTTGCTAAATAGGTGAGAAAATGGGTCACTTGGAAGAAGCGTGTACAGAAAAAGCACATTCACAGGGCAATACACACACTTCCTTAGTTACGTGCCCATTAAATAAAAAAGAAATGTTGTCAAAGGTCTTACGAGCAGAGCAAGGAAGATACGTACGGATGACCTCTTACAAAAGGAATTTGAATATATTCACGATTCCTTGACGGAGATGGGCTATCCGACTAGTTTCATAAAGAAATATATGAAAACATCAGAGAGAAAACCTGAGACGATGGCTGCACGAAAAAAGCCTCTGTTTATTAAGTCACAGTTTAATGGTGACTTATCTAGTGAGACTTTGTTCCAGAGACTATCCAGGAGTATACGGAGAACGTTTTACGCAGCATACCTATGTTTGTCATTCTCCAGCCGACGAATGATTGGGACGGGAACGAAGGATAAGCTTGATAGTTTTGCCACATTTATGTGTATTTATCAATTCAACTGCACCTGCGGTGACAGTTATGTTGGGTGTACTACTAGACAGCTTAGCCAACGTGTTAGTGAACATCTCCCATCATGTTTTGTCAAAAGACAGACGAAAACAATCTGTAGCTAAATTTTATCACATTTAATTGATAGCGGTCATGTACTTTCATGTAGCTTTCAAAGTAATTCATCGCATCCCACCGAATCTTTCGAATAGACTTCGTATTCTTCTACTTCACACAGCTGAGGCGGTGGGCGTTCGAACTATTAAACCTAAACTATGTATTCAAAAGAAGTTCGTACAGCCATTATCCCTCCCTTGGCCTATTAAGACATAACCAACTAATGACTTCTACACCATCCCTTGTTTTTATTTTCAACCCCTTTCTTATCATCCCTTAATCTTATCACATCTTCATTAAAAAGGTGTCTCATTTACTTCCCTTACAATCTAGCATTACTTAATCGGTTCATTTGTTTTTACCAGCCTTTATCGACTACTTCCACCTGAACAATTGTTTGTTCAATCATACCGTTTTTCATTACTCGTGTTATCATAGATTGCCCCACTTTTTCATCCTTATTATTGATAAGACCATTATTATTTACTATTATCATTACTACCATTATGACTAATTGCACAATTTATATTCACTATTGTATTATCCTATAGACAAAACACCATGATTGGTTTATATTTGAATTCTTATTTGTAAACTTATATATATTAGAGTTAAGCCTGATGAGACCTAATTGAAAACAATATTGTTCGCTTAAATGTGTTTTTCTAAATTTTACTATGGGAATATTTAATATACTGAAATGACGATAAATTTACAAAATGAAAAACCTATTTTTTGGATTATGAGCGTCAAAGCTATCAAGTATTTGATTAATTCTTGAGGTCAAAATACCTTAGTCAAAAAATACAACAGGGAGGAACTACTGTTTGAACCTAGCTTGAATCATTCTTACAATACGCACCATGAATTTCATCAGTATTCGACCACCTCATAATACAGCTAACAGACCACAGAGAACAACGGAATGTAATCTCCGATTTCTTATAACACAATTAGTCTCCGTGACCACCAACAGTTTTCAGTGAGCTAAAGAAATCAGGTGTGTGTTATTGGATCTTAGTGGTGTCTTTTTGTTAAATTTTCCGTAAATTTATCTTAAAATCTACCATCCTCTATACAGTTTGGAGCGAAAGTCCTCAGCACTATGTTGCGAATGCTTCTAGTAACGCGCATACTAATTCTCTGAAGTGAGTATAGGTACTCATTTGTCACTAGTATCGAGAAGTTGCAGTTTGTTCCCTGTAATAAGTGTTGCTTACTCCCCATCACACTAAATTCAGACCAATGGCGAGCAGTTTTGCTCTCCCGTTCTGATCATTCTTGGATCTGACATCGAAATCAGTGTCGCACTTAGTTGAAACGATGTTGCCATGGTCAGGGAGGCGAGAGTCAAACCTTTTTTTATACATCTGTTTGGTTAGTTAAAGTCGGTTGGGTGTCGTCATCACTTGTCTTCTCTATGTTCTCCTGAACTTTTGTCTTCTTTGTCTGTTCTATCAACTCGTGAGTTTCCTTTTGCATATCTTTGAGCTTTTGTGTTATGAGAAATAAATCACCAGCTGACCTCGGGTCTTCTAGGGTCTGTTTTGAAATCTCAGCTTTTGCTTGCCTTTTCACTCCCCACAGATAGTGTGCCACATGATTTAATCCACTACAATCAGAAAGATCACCTCCAATAATACCAGGCAGCTGTGTCTTACTTCTGTCTTCACCTTAAACGCTTCAGTGAACTTTTCATTATGGTATGTTTCATCTTTATCACGTGGCTGTTCAACTGAACCCCATAATAGTGAGGCGGCTTCTGAATTTCTTCACATCTGACGCTTTCAGATGCTTGTTCAAAGTCGATAAAGTTGACGAACATGCTGTTCACATGAATACTAAATATTATACACACTATTTTCCAGCCAGTGACATCCTTAAAAGTCGATAAAGAGTCTTTAGTTGTGACAACAACGGATAGTTTTTTCCTGTATGCTTTGTATAAATTGCATGCACTCTATTTTTACACTTTTCATGCTATTCCATAGACTTCTGCATTTCTCTGAACTTTTATTACTTCGTTACTTCAAATGTTTTTACCAGATAACTTGTCTTTTAGATGAGATTTACTGCTTGGTGTCTTGAACAACAAATATGATCACCATAAACATTAGTAAAGGTGCTAAAATAGCTTACTTTGTAGAGAGATAAAGTGTTTTCAATTTTTAACCAATATATTGAGAAACAAAACTCACCATACTGTCAATGCCCAAAAGTATAATCATTGTGAAGAAACAAAACGACCAAATTGGACTTCCTGGCATTGTCCCCAAAGCTTTTGGATAAATGATAAATGCTAAACCTGGTCCAGATTCAGCAATTAAATGTATTGGAACTTTAGAAACATAGGACATATTACCGAGGGTTGCAAAAATAACAAAACCTGCCAATAAGCTTGTAAATGTGTTTGCACCGGCAAATAGTAGGCAATCTCTGTTTTAAAACATAAATTTTAAATGAAAATGAATTTCGAGGAAAATTCCAAGACTCTATATTTCAGCATTCAATAAAAAGTAACAGAACTGATGTTTACATTAGTAATATAAGACTTTAATGTCCCAAAAACATTTCATTATTTTAATTTCCACGGTAGCTGAATTGTTTAAACTGACTCTTCTCTTCACCTGGATTTCGCAGGTTTGTTTCCTAATGTGTTATGGATGTACGCTGGGAGAAGTGACTGTAGAATGTCTCCTGATTATCAGTAGTTCTCTGGATAATATCGATGCACGATGAAACCCACCCTGAAATTAATCGAATCCCTGCAAAACGACACTCGGAAATGTTATTTTTATTGTATGTAAGCAGTATAGCTTAACGTATAAGACTTATAACACCTAGTGTTTCCCAGAACAAGCATCACGTTTCCTGTAAACACGCAATCACGCCTTCTGGTGTAGGCTATCACACATTATCAAGACTATTTGATACGTATGGACTACCACATATAATACTTCTTTTAAAATACAATGAGCACCTGGAATTCTGATGTTTGTAAGAATGTTTTACTCTGCAAAAAGCAATCCTTATAATATTGACTACGAAATTACCACCTGACTATTTAAAATTTTATTTTTGTGAAACTATTAATGAATAAGAAAAGATCATTATTCTGTTTTCAGCTTTTGCAGTATCATAGTCCTCGACTGTACTCCAACATATCTGGTAACATATATTGTTTTTAAGAAGTGGAATCCATTAACTTTTGTCGGTTCGTTTATAGAGACCTGTCAAACCATGTTAGTTTATGAACAATGCTACATTTACAATACTAAGTAATAGTGAGTTTTTTCATACTTTTGAATGGAACATCACTACGTAAACTGGTTAATACTTCACCGTTGTGTATATTTACTGTCTCCTATGAAATGCAAGAAGAATCTGTCATTTTGATCTCATCAGTGTTATTAAGAGACGATTCCTGCAGTCAATGTGAAGACAAAAAATTAAAATTTCATCTATTCTTGATCCAAAGCACTGAGCTAGACAAGCTGTCTTCATTTGGGTGCTTAAGATAATATCTATAAGGATGAAGGGGGCTTCATAACTCAACTCATAGCACACACCAAAATTAAGAAGCAAAAACTCCAGGATTCTTTAAATCACAACATTAGAAAATAAAAGTCAGTATGAAGTATGAGGTACAGTGTTTGACGGCTACTAAAAAGATTACTGGTAGTAAACTGAAGGAACTGTTACTCAACTAGAGTCTAACTCTCAGCCTGTAAAACAAACAGAATTGCTTCAATGAAGTTACTGGTCGTGTAATAGATTACTGAAATGAAATAAGTTTAAAGAAAAACCATAGAAGTATTTTCAAATGAGTAATTAACAGTTTATAACTTACCGAACAGAATTATGATGGTATCTGTTATAACTACCCAGTGCTGTTAGCGCACCTAGACCAATGGCATAACTGAAAAATATTTGTGTACCAGCATCTGACCAGACCTTTATTCAATAAAAAAAAACAACGATAGAATATTGTAAAGATCTGATTTGGACAAATTTGAAAATTAATCTGATGCTCACTAGCGACTGGGCCTATTCATGCAGTTAACCTGGAATTCTAATGGGAAGCCGTGACCAGTAGGGTACAGAAGGTCAAAGATGAGTCAGTAACTCATCGAAGAAGACATTGCGAAGTGGTCGCGCTATGTCGTGAATTGGCAGAAGTTAGAATTCAAGAACAATTGGATCGGGTCCCAATGGCTCAGTGGTCTACGAGCTCGCCTTGTAACCAGAAGGTCCTGGGTTCGAAACCCGATGGGTGCGTACTGCTGAGGAGTCCCAAACTAGGACGAAACAGCTGCCCAGTACTCCCAGGTTTTCCAGTGGTTCTCTAACTGATGTCAGCTTATAGTGAAATCCTGCTGAAAATCAAACAAAATCCCTACAAAACCAATACTTGAAAATGATTAAACGTTTACCAAGAATAAAAACGGACCATTGTGCTACAAATGACAATACATGAGGCGCAGAGAAAAAATCATCACGGAAGATAAAATCAATCGCCAGCTAATCCAAATTATTAAAACACTCATGTTTCATCATTTGTAAGGTTGAAACTTGAGATAATAAGAACATTTGGTTGTAAAGCTCAGTGATAGCTGTTTGTCCATCATTATTAACTGACAGAAATGATAAAGTACATTGTCAGTGGGCATTCAGTATAGACATCACATTCTATCCTTCATATTCGACTATAACACCTACATTTGTACTTTCAACTTGGTAACTTTGTCTCACTTGCCCATTCTATAAAATTAGTCGTTTTACATGAAATCTACTAATAAAGTGAATATAACCTCAGTGCATGAATAAAAATTCACTAATTAAGTTATTCATTCATTAACATATGAAGCATTCAGTCTAATAATCGGGTTATTCAAAAATGAACTGTTCTTTAATTTATTTAACATGAATTTATGGAAATTGTGAGCAATTAAGTAATTAATTCAGCTATAACACTCTGGAAGTTAATCACTAGCATAAAAGCTCTGTTAAGCGTAAAGGTTTCTCATCATAATGGAGACTTTTGAAGTCAACACCAACCACAAACTTTACTCTGTGTACGATTTTTTTATCGTTGTTCAACAGCTGTATGCACATCTGTTAACTAAAACGCTTGAAATATTCGATGCATACATACACCTTCTAAATGTATGCTGGTGTGAATTTTAATTTGCTGATACCAAATTAGAATGCAGTAACTATCCAATATTGTTTGCAAATTAGTAGTTCCTCCAGTTTATGATAATTTCTCTGACAATATCAACCTTGATAATCTACTGTGTAAACTGGTACAAAGTAAATACATTTCCTTAAATTAAGGCAAAAGAAAATTGCTAACCCTCACACAAATCAATAATTTCATCACGAAATTATTTTTCAGTTAAATCTAAAGAAAAGTCTTCCTTAAATTATCTCACTTAATCAGAAACCCCGTTTGTGTAAAAGTACATTCAGTAACACATGTCATACTAAAATCAATTCTGACAATAGCGAATAACTTTATAGAAAGATAAATTTATGAGAAAAGTAGACCGTTGTATCATGAAAAGATACTTATTTAGACATTCACTGTTAGGATATACAAATAAATATAGTAAAGAATAGAGAAAGAAAATAACTATGCAGTGACTGCGGTAAACGCTTCTGTTATCTTTCGAGTTCCACTTCATTCAGCTATGTCAGCAGTTATTAAATTTAGGATACAAAAATTCAGAGGATTCTACTGACTACTCGAAAATTGCTAACCCACTTAGTACTTTTACTTAGGGAAATCATCACATGTGAAATGAATAGTATTGATTTACTGTTACCGTTACAGTACTAATTCTTAACTTTTATATATGTATATACGTCAGAAGATGATTGTGAAATAAAGACCCTCTTCACTGATTAGTGTATATTAAGCGGAAAGTGTATGTTTAAACATCAGTTATTCGTTTTGTTTGATCACATGGAGGATTCCATCATGAACTGACATCAGTTAGAGAACCACTGGAACCACTGAAGAGTCGCAAACTAGGACGAAACAGGTGCCTAGTACTCCCAGGTTTTCCAGGGGTTCTCTAACTGGTGTCAGTTCATGATGTAATCCTCTTTGTTTAAACTGACGAAAACACACAAGACTTATTATTATACCAAGGTATGGAGCATTTCTTAACAGAAAATGTTATTCGACTTAGCTTACAAATACACCCAGTTACCTATCGGAAGCTTAGCACAGTGTTTAACGATAACTAGTTATCACGTGGTGAGAAAAAGAGAGAAAAAAAATTGCTTGGTTCCATACACAATATAATGATATTTTACGGTGTTATTTCAGAAGATAAAATATTTTTCTTCTTGAATATATTTGTATCATCTATCTACCTTTAATAAGTAATAACTATCAAGTATTATCATTTGGTGTTGTAACATAGTGTGCAGTCAATGCACCTTTTGACAGGCAGCTAAATATATTTCTGGAGCCGAAAAAATCATGGAGGATAGGAAGTGTAAAAAAAGGTTTTTTTGCATCCATGATAATACTGTCTTGCCTTTATGTTTGAACTGTATTTAGATAAACCACCTACATAAACTATGAAAAAGATTTTGTTAATGATAATTCAATCAGTCTAATACACCAAATGTTTCGTGTGGTAGTTGAAAATATGCATTTTAATAAATACAGGTACTGTGAAATTTATCCATGATTCGTGTAAAAGGACTTTAATGCTTTTCTTATTTACATATTTTCATATAGCAATGCTATTATTGAATGCTGGGCTGATATTTGTGAGAAATGAAAAAGAAGAAGAAAGGATTTTGTTTTCCAGATTATATAGCATATCAGGTGACTAAAATCATATTTATAAATAGGATTTATGAAGCTCTCCTTGATTCACCTTACCTCACTTATCTGTTCTTTGTAGTGATCAAAGAAGTAGCATTCCACCCACTTAATCAATATAACTAAAAGTCGAAAATCGGTTACATAGTTGCACAGCTACAGGAGAAATAAATTAAAGAAATCAAACAGTATTTGCAGTGTTACACAACGTGTCAGTTGTTGTGGGCGGAAATCGACAAACACCCAAATAACATCAATTTTCTAATTGATACGCGTGGATGTCATGGCCCAGTGGATAACACTTCGGCATTTAAAAGAATGCCTGCTGGGTTCGAATCTCAGTGGGAACAATACCAAAAATTAAGTATACAGGCATGTCTCACTAATGACTCCTGAATAGGCCAAAAGAAACAGCTTGGATTCCAGTGATAATCACCATCAACTAAATTATAGATTCTCAACCCTTCGGCATCGTCGTACAGTTCGTTCAAGAATCCAACATGTCGATAGAATCCAACTGCTTCGGTCCAGTAAAATCAGTTAACGGCCTGTTTGAATATTTTTGGGCTACCACATTCCATGTACATTTTGCATCTATTTACTCGTATTTTATTGGTATTTACATATCACATTATGCATTCTAATCGTATTATCTACCCTCGGGATTTTATAAAACGTTTTAAACCCAAAAACTTTCATATTTGCAATAAACTCAAGAAAAAGCACCATGGAGGTTGGCAGCGTGCCTTAAAATCTACACCCATACATCACACCACTGTTCCAGTTATCATTAGTACCAACTGCCGGTCCCTGCCTAACAAAATTCTGGATTTTCAGTCTCTGTTGTCTTCTAGTACCTACCACAATACTGGTATTGTCACTCTGCAAGAAACCTGGCTCCATGACTCATACGATGACAATATTGTGTCTCTAAACAATTTCAATGTTTTTCGACAAGACCGTATTTGTTCCAAGAAAAAGTGTGGTGGAGGTGTTGCAACTTTTATTCACTCAAAATGGTCCATTTCAAACAAAGTTTGTTTCAAATTCTCGAATGACTTCATTGATTGCATCACTGTGAGATGTCGCCCGAAACACATTTCAAAATACAAATTCATTTATATTTCTAATGTTTATGTCTCTCCTGGCTGTACCATATTGGATTTATCTATGTTCGCCGATGAATTCACCGCTTTTGCTGCAGCTTGCTTCGAGAACTCTTTATCAATAGTAGATTATTAATTCATGCGATCACTCCTTCCTTATATCACTTGGTCATGACAATATTGTCAACTTTGCCACCCGTCTTGGTAAAAAATTGGACCTGGTATTTATCAATGATGTTGGTATATATGAAGCTCGCAAACGTGCTCCTCTACTTAATTCTGACCACTGCATCATACGTGTGCTGCCTAAAATATATTCCAAATCACACAAAGGTGTCCTCTCTCACCTCTGCAGTAAAGTTCAACGGAGATGCTACTCAAAAGACAACCTAGACAAGCTCAGATGCATGTTGAAAGACACTAACTGGGACTTATTTACAGAACAAACATTAGATGAAACAATCACAAACACTACTGATTATCTTAAATTCTGTTTCGAAATATGTTGTCCTAAAGAAACATTATTCATCCGATTTGATCGCTTATCTTCGCCATATCTCAAAAAGCTACGTAGAAATAAAGAACTGTTGTTCAAAACTAATGATAAGCCTGGTGTAAAAAAGTTAAACATGCTGATAAAACTGGAAATAAAAAGACTAAGTGTTTTATATAATCAAAGATTTTTGTCATGTAAAACCCCTTCTAATTTATGGAAACTTTTCAAAGAAATTACTAACGGTAAGCGATGTATTTCTGTTCCATCTCTTAATGTTGACACTCTTAATAAATCTTTCATACGCTCTTCTGTTGATACCCTTCCAAATGATACAAATCATATTGACAATAACTTTAGTGGTTTTAATACCCTTGATGTGCTTAAATGTCTCCGGTCTCTTAAGCCTTCTCAAAGCCTTGGTCCTGACGGCATACCTGCCATTGTCCTCAGGAATTGTGCTGATATTTTGTGTTATCCTCTTACTAACATTTTTAATGCCTCTTTTTCCGGTAACGTTCTACCTTTTGCATGGAAAAACATTAAAATTATCCCTATACCAAAACCATCTTCTGGTTCTGATATTAAATTTCGGCCTATTGCAATTACTTCCCCCTTTTTAAAATTGATGGAAAAATTACTTTTACTTCGTCTTGAACCCGCTTTGAAACCTTTTAATGATCCTAAACAATTTGCATACAAACATGGTAGAAGTACCTTGGATGCTGCGGTTGTCTTATATCACAATGTTGTCTCTTGTTTAGACAAAGGTGCTAAATATGTTCGTAGTGCTTTCTTAGACTACACATCTGCTTTTGACTCTGTACCTAGGGGCCTTTTATTAAATAAGCTATCATTGACACAAACAGGATCCTGGGCTAAGAGTTGGTTGCATTCCTATTTTTCTGATAGAATGCAGTATACTGTATATAACGGCAAATCTTCTTCTACCTCGCTTACAAAATCCGGTGTTCCACAAGGTGCTGTCCTCTCTCCTTTTCTTTTTTCTTTCTTCCTACATGACCTACCTCATTCAAACGAAACTAACTTTGTCAAATATGCAGATGATCTGACTGTATCACTGCCTATCACTTCCGAGTCTGACAGCTCCAAACTTAATAGCTTTCTGTTGGACATCAACAACTGGTCCAAGTCAAATGGTCTTATATTAAATCCTTCCAAATGTCAGGTGCTTGACTTTACTTTCAAGCATCGACGTGACTTACTTGAACTAGTTAACTCTCATGATCCCTGTAGCATAGATGGCACGGAAATTGAAACCAAATCAAGTATTAAATACCTTGGACTAGTTTTTTCCTCTGACCTTTCATGGTCATCCCATATCTTATCTATCTCTAAGAAAATGTTTCGTCTTACCTTCTACATTAAAAAGTTAAGACAATCAGGTATCAACCAACCTTTAGTTTTGCAATTTTTAAACTCCTGTATTTTACCTATTGTACTCTACTGCTCTCCATTAATCTTTCCTGGGCTTCTCAAAAAAGATTATATCATATTACGAAGAGTATTAAATGCTGTGAGTAGAGCTTGTGGTCTGCCACTGCATGAGCTCGCTAATACTATAGTCGAGAGGCATATAAATTCCTGTACGAAATGGGCAAAGGCTATAATGTCAGACCCTCTGCACCCCCTTTATTCACACCTGTCCCCTTGTATCTCATCAGGTAGGACGAGAAGTCAATATAAAAAGATATATGCTCGTACTACTAAGTATAGAAATTCTACAATACCCTATTTAGCGCGTACTTTATGTGACGAAGACTCTGTTAGACGTGAAACTTACAAGTTACTATGTAATTAGCACAGTGAATCGACCCTTTTATCGTTCATCTTTCTGTATTTTATGGTGTTACACTTTCTATCGTTTAAATCGTTACTCTGCTATTTTATATTAGTTGGTATTACTATTATTACTACAATTTTGTACTTTATACATATTTTTCTCCGTATGGCACACAGTATTTTGCTACGTAGCTGCTACAACAATCGTTTTATTACTATTATGTATTGTGTATTTTTAATTTTTTTTGTCGTTTTTGGGTAAATTAGATGCAATATTGTACTGAATGCTGAAAATTCCTTGCTGTATCATGAGTACTGTTTTTGGAATAAAGCAATTATTATTATTATTATTAACCAGAAATTCAGAACAACAATTTCCATGGAAATCATTTATTTGTTTTACGAAAAATACTTACTGTCATGTCAGCCAGTTTCTTCCAGTCTGGTTTCAGATAATATGAAATACCAGTAGATGCTCCTTCTAATTGAGCTGTGCGTATAAGTAGTGTTATCATGAATAGATAAGGTGTGGTTGCAGTGAAATACATAACCTAAAATAATATAATTTCAAAAGTGATCGTGATTTGGTTGAAGTGAATTGAAAAGATATAAAAATAAATTCATTTATTACAAAGAAAATTTCGAAATATTGGACCTTCCGGGTCATTTTACAAATACAGTATGCACAATACATCAGTAACAAAACTCATTCATGGTAGTGAAGACAGCATCTCAGTGAAATGTGGTTCAGTTAAAAGCATTCCATAGGATGTTATTTCAAAGTATACAGTTTTTATATTAGTAACGGTGTCAAGTGACATCACTAGACAAGCCCTCGAGTGGAACCCGAAAGGGAGGCGGCGAGTTGGTCGTCCAAGGGTGACTTGGAGGAGGTCATGCTAGAAGGAGATGAAAGCATGTGGACAGACCTGGAGCAGGGTGAAAAAGTTGTCAGAAAACCGAAGTCAATGGAGGTGCGCAGCTGAAGCCCTATGTTCCTCTAGGAACTAAAGGATACAATAATAATAATAACAACGGTGTCAAAAAACATTTGGCATTATTAATTTATCAATTTTTACTGCTAATAAATTCTTTTCTTTAGACGCGCATCTTTGGAAATGATAACTTTATTGAGTGACACATTTACGATAATTTCATAGTGAACAGCGTCCAAGTTTGATCATGAACTTACTTCAGTCACAGAACAAATAGAACCAGAGGGTTTTGGACAGCTTTCTCATCGTAGTTTCGAACTCTTCATCAGTACACCATCCATCCATGATAATGCTGTGGATTGAACCCAAAACCTTAAAATTACGAGGCCCTCTACTTGACCAATGGGCCACTGGGTTGGAACTCATAGTTCTGTGAATTCTAACTTCTGCCAATTTGCTATATGTAGTGTATAATGTCTGAATTAAATGCTTAAATGCACTGTGATTTTAGATTTAGCACAGTTTCATTGATGGTATGGTGATTTCACTTTACTGTCTTTTCAACCGACGGAAAGCAAGCATGGCATAAAAATGTCTAATTTATCTATGTTATTTAGTCAAATATAAATGCATAAATTGTTAATATGGAACTTGAAGCAAACGTACAGCAGGCTCAATTGTCACACTTCAGAAAAGCACAAACAAAAATGGATAAAATCTTATGAAACTGCAATAAACAAAAGTGTGCTGAGGAAAGGTCAATAGGTGAAATTCTATTGGCATTTTCATATTCTGGAGGATCACAGGCAGTGAATACATATAAGTGATCAAGAACGATTTCAAATTGTCTCAATAACAATCCCCAGCTATTGATTGTTATCATCTCAAAGACACCAGACAGTCAGTACAAACCTTTCTAAAGGTTTCGAATACAACCATGTATACGGAAAAGTTGGTAACACGTAAAAACACAAAGGTTCTCAAATTAATTATTTGTTGATGAAGTACAATCGACGACATGATGTTAGACAACATAGGTTTAACTTGTAGAACTACTCAGTTCATCCTAAATTCAGAAAAATGATAGAAGTTCAATTCACTGAATACATTTCGCACTTTCACCAAACTATATAGTGAATGATGTTTTCCTCACAATCTGCTTTTAAGTTTTTGCGTATCTGGAACAGGTACTGATTCATTTCATTTGTAAACTTCACATTCTAGAATAAATAGGATCACTTAACTAACAACGTTCCCATCAACATTAACTCCATCTGCATCACAATTTCCTTATTCTTTTGTTACCTTATTTGTTTGGTTAAAGTTTGAAGATTACGAATTCGTCCTTCACAATAGTGATATTGTCATGTACACTAAAAGTCTTAGTTTTTGACGATCACTCATTTACATCAGGTTTAATTTATTCACAGATGGATGAGGTAAGTTTAGCAGTTTTAGAAAAATAAATTGCACTCTAAATATCATTGAATATTTGATACTGTTTTACTATATACCGAATGAATTAACACTCTTCGATTGGACACTAGTAACTAGTGTGAGGTGTCTAGTCCTGTTCTTGGTGTACACTGAATTCTCTCCGTCAGGTTTGCAATGTTGCCATCATTCTAGGTTGCTCGCCATCACAGTGCACATTGATTTGATGATATTAGATGGTTGGAGGTATCGGCCACAGGAAGCCATGGACCTAGGTATCGTGCTAGTTGACACTCACTCGTCAACAAGGCGTATCTGCAACCTCGAAGGAATTCATGTCCCTCCTGAGATTCGAACTCGCTTCACCCAGTGGGTACTGCAGTCAGAGACGTTACCACTGAGCAATTCAGACTGGCGTTTGATCTCCTGTAAGACTGTAGTGGATAATTGTCACTGGACACTACTAACTAATGTAATGGGCCTGGTCCTTTCTTTTGTGCACACTGAATTTCATCAGTCAGCTTTGCAATGTGGTAACGTCTCTGCCTGCAGCATTGGGTGACGCGGGTTCGAATCACAGAAAGGAAATGAGTTCCTTCAAGGTTGTACATACGCCTTGTTGACGAGTGAATGCTAACTAGCACGAAACCTATGTCCAAGGCTTCCTTCCGATTGCCTCCAACCATCTAATATCATCGAATTAATACTCTTCTCGAACGGCTGTGAACTCTGAATGGGATAAAACAAAATTTCGCAATCTATATTTTCGACTGACTTCTATGTAAATTCCCGTAATCTTAGTGAATTTAAGAAGATGCCCAGTCTCTGACTGATTCCCTTGAAGAAGTTAGGACCAGTTTACCAAACGATACGTTGGGATAACATATTTCACTTTTGTTGAGATTTTACAAATAGAAATTTTAACATATGTCTGCTTTCACTCGGCGTCCAACTATTTGGGAACCATTTGGTGAAATCTTGATCATAGTTCATATGAATCAGTCGCTGATGGTATGAAGGAAAAACCTGAGACAACTTTCTGTATTTGATCAAGTATGTGTATAATTTCACTGTCATGAAATTTGACTTATCGTATAAATTCTTTACCCACTGTTTTATGTTTTATTGAAAATAATAGAGTACATACGCCATCAAGAAAACGTTTTCGTGTATATAAACTATATTACTCACAAGTGGTGGTCAATTATATTAAAACTTACTTTCCCAGAGGTTTTTATCCCTCGACAGATAGCCAGAAAAATTATTATCCAAGCTAACAAGAGGCATAAAGCCAAATCCCACTGAACTGTTCCTAAATGATCGATACCACTGGAGATTCTCAGAACACGATTTCTGGGATAAAAAACAAAACGTGTCAAAGGTGAAACACTTATTACAAAAAACTGTTTTCAATAGGATATTTTAGGAACTACCAGTTTTCTTCTTATAAGAATAAAAACACCTCTTTTTTATCATAATAGGCATAACTGACTATTCCATCTACTGATGAGTAGCTTATATCTTTTAAGTAGTTGGGGGAAATTGCCACGGAGTCCAAAACTTAGGTTTTCCGTTTACTGGCAGCCATCAGTAAGACGTATCTGAAACCTAGAAAGAATCGACATCTCTCAGGCTCTGGTGAGACTCACCAGTTCCTTAGAGGTTGTACTGATGCATTACTTATGACTACAGTTAAGGAAGGAGCCAGGTCCGAGACTTCCTGTTTATTGCCTGCCGGCAGCAAGTTACCTAACCTGGTGACCACATTGCAAGCGTGACTGACAGAAAATAGTTAGAACCAACAAATCGAAGATTGAAGCGTCGTAGGGTGCATTTACTTCTAAAATTATTTAGCAGTACACACAATTTCCCCATAGAAAACTGACGAAGTGTTTTTCAATATCAAAGGCCTACGGGCTACAGCGGTCACTGTTCAATGACCGAGTGATTCGCTTTAATTCCTGCTCTTGGATTCCATCTAAATTTGCTGTTTCAGTAATCATAGATGTTAATATAAGTAGCAAAGAGGAATAATTATATCTATTGTGTATAAGTTGTTATTAATACTGAAATAAACGAAATAACATATCTAAAACACTCAAATGATTTGTATATATAACCGTCTGTGCAACAACAAAATAAATCATAAAATTACCCTGATTAAATTTTAAATATCAGTGATTTATAATACTTACAAGTAATAATTAAAGCTAGAAATGAGAAAATTTTGTGTAAGTAGTTCACTTTTATGTCATTTATTATTTGGATGGCTTATTTCTCATACCTATTCATCACTGTTATTAAATTCAGTCAACTAATTTTGAAAGCTTATGCATTATTTGACGCAATGTTTGTATATCATTGAGTGCAAACTCTCAATTTCAAATTATTACTTTCAAATGTTTCGCAGTTAACTTCCGACCAACATACTTGTATTTCAGTTATCCTTGCTGTGTTATCCTCTCTGTGATAAGGTGTCACCCTCACGCTAACAACAGAATAACATATTTCTCAACAGCACTGAAGCCGTCTGTAAATACCTAAAACACTGCGTCACATAAACTAACCATCTGATAAATGTGGGCAGTTAGATTGATACACCATTGAACTCTGAGTTATAACACTCCAAAAATAACTTTTCTTATGTATCTTATTTTTCTCATCCCTACCGAGACATTTTATGGAAACAAACAGAGGCAAAAATAATTACTAACACACACACACACTAAAATTCGTGTAAGCAGGAAAGAAGCCGTGGAAAACACCCTACGTAGATGCAATTGAAGGCACATGTGCACCATTATTTGAATATTATCAGAAGCAAAAGACTGTGATTTGAAAGCTATTTTCAAATTATAACGAGACTAATAAAAAAGTGGATCCTAAGTCACTCATTAATAAATGTATTTGACCATTATTCCGTCGCCAAGATCAATAGCTTCACTGAGCCGCTAAGTCATTGGTGCAGATCAAAACATTTCTAATCGAAACACTGGCTGTTGTAATCTGAAGCTTTAGAAAACGAATTCATTTCTTCATGACTCCTACCTACTAATGAGTGTTTGCTTGCAGAAGCTTATGCTAAACATATGAAAAAGATCCCATTGAAATTTATTTCAAATAACCTGTGCTTATACAGAACTAAGCAAATGAAATTGTCTATCAAATCCTAGCTAGCTTGATACACCAGGACCTCGAGTGGGACTCGAATAGAATCAGGTGATTTGAGCGGCTAATTGTTGACATGGAGAAGATCACGTGAAGAGGAAATGAAAGCTTTTAGGTAGTGGAGGAGCCACCTGGAAATAAAACCGGATAACCGATCAGGATGGAGCCTTACTTTTTATTCGGAATGTAAGGAACAAATTGTTATAATGTGATGCTAGTATTTTGAAAATATTGATTTCGCCAGTAAATCGTGAAACCTTTTTAACTTAAAACATCGTTTGTATTTCGATTTTAGACCTGGAAGCAGAAAAAATGCATTACATGCAAGCAAAACTTGCTATTTGACCTCTCTATTATTTTTTATTTTCAAATAGCAGACAGATACTGGCCTGTTAAATTGTTATCGGTGAATACTAGTTAAAAATCAATCATGACATAAATGTGTATGCGTGACCGCATGTGTTGACAGGCAGAAATTGTTATATGCGGTAAGTGTTACTGTTGAAAAATTTCACATAGTAAATGTGCCTGCCAAACACGAGGTAACTTATTCAAATAAAGTCTTTCAGGTTTATTTCTCGGTAGATACGTGTCTTTGTTGCATAGGAATCTTGTTTTCAATCTAAAAACACCTTGACTTTTTATGAAGCAGTTTGAGATGCCCTGCCAGGAAACCTGATTCATTATTATTTTATTCCTTCACATTTCGAGAGGAACATAGGGCTTCAGTATAGAGCTTTAAAGTTTCAGTAGCAAGGGTCTTATTTTCACCGGGTGGGGTTGCTAGCCTCTTACTCAAGTTCCCCTCTTTACTGGCCTGACTACCAGTTTAGCGAAATTTAGGAGTGTGTCTGCCGAAGATCAAACCCGGAACCAAGAGACGCGTGGTTGGTTAGCATTCTACCACTGAACCATCGGCGAGAAAATCGCAGTATTACCTAGTCAGATATAAAGGTAGAACTGGGACATTATGGTAGAGTAAAATCATGTAATAGGATAACTTTATTTGACAAAATACAAAATGAAACTGTATTATTTACATGCGGATGACGTTTTGAGCACAATTCATTGCTCATAATTATATCGAAGTGCTCACACAACCCTCAAACGTTGTTTACATAGTCCCATTATCATCTATGCTTTGATCTTACTGTTAATAATATTTCCCATATCTCTGCCATTTTTGCTGTAACATTCCATATTAAGAATGTTTGTTGCATATTTGTTTAACCTTTGTGGAACTAGGATATGTCACCATTTTCTTCACTCATACAGAATCGGTAACAGGAGAAGTTGGACTTAGTTTTCAGTTAAGGAATCCAACAGGAAGAATTAGCTGTGTTCGATATGTAGAATAAAGCAAATTAATGAAGGAAATCTATTCACCACTGTTTATAATAGTCATTCCAATTTAGTTTATATTAAGACTTTAGGTTATTTCATCTCTAGGAACTATACAAACAAAATCTTAAAGTTATACGAACACTTTGATTAGACAGTGAGCAATAAACTGTGCCTGAAACCTCATCCGTAAATAAATAATAGTGTATCGCTGTGTTTTACCAAATGAAATCATCTCATTGTAGAATTGTAGGTATTCAGATCATCAGAATTTCACTGATAAATATTTGAAAACAAAGCTTTATTGTCCCGGTAGAACCAACCATTTATGCATTCAAAAACATTTACACAGTTATGTAGGGAGGTGAACTGTACTAAGCCTTCTCGATTCATTTTCTAAAATAAAATGATGGAGAAGCTATAGCTTCTGCTGAACGGTTTTAGCATCTGAAGCCTCTAAACACAAAATTCAAGGAAGAATCACCCCTTAAACTAGGACATTAAGGAGAAATTAAGGCAAGGAAATGTGTAATAGTTTTTACCTTGGAGGTTGCTTGAAAAATTTGTTGTTAGGCACCACTGAAAACTTAATTTGGGCTTTACAGGATTATAATTTACGGCTAATAAACGATGTTGTCTTCGTGTATTCTTCAATGTTTTATAAACAGTGAAGCAGTAATGGTTCAGGTGTTTTGTAACAATTATCAGATTGAATAGTGGCAGAGTCATATGTAGTCAGTAACTGTATCGAGATTAATTAAAGAAGTCGCATGATACATAAGAATTCAGGAGTTTGGGTCCTAGGACATGGAAGAACTATGTTGTACTATAGACAGACATACTCAAAGAACATATGTAGGATAAAATCACTTCATGTTCTCCTGCAAATATGTTCGTTTTTCCTTTGTTCAAAATAATGAACGGTTGTATGAAACACATGGTCAATCTTTATTTATACCTAAAAAAGCGCCTTTAGTTATTTGTGCTTTCGTGGATTTTGGGTATAATCTGTCAAACGAGTATTATATTACACTGATTTTCAGTCTTTTTATCAACTAACATGTGCTAAACTCCACTTAATTTATGCGCTGGGGAATAAACGTTACTATACAAACAAAAACTAAAACTTTTAAAATCTCTCAGAAGAACGTGAATATGTTGCCTTGAATTAAAATGACCACTGATTGGGTAGCACTGAGAACTTCATATTTCAAGTTCCTGATGAGTGCTTACCAAGCAGCATTTGACTAGATCATTAGCTGCACCACACCAGTAAACTCATTCAACCGTGCAGAAGATAGAATGATTAACTGAGCTCCATGAACAGATTTTTGGAGTATACAGACTCACTCCCAATACTCCGCAGCAGGATCAACTGCCAACAGGTGCTGACGTGAAAGTTGTGTCACGTTGCTTGAATTTGTCCTTGTTTCGGCACTACTGCATGATTCTGTGTTCCAAGGGTTGCCACATGTAGTCCAAGGAAGTTCAATAGTGAACGAGGCGAAGATAAAATGAAATGCCCAACCAAGAATAACTGTATAATAACTGTTCACGAGGAAATTTATTAGGGTACTTGCACATCCAATACCTATGAGGATAAAGACAATAAAAAGTTAATTATGTTAAAATAAAAAATCTGAGAGAGCTTAATAAAATCAAATCCGATGTCATAAATATTGAATAAACTTGCCTCTGAAAAGTGGACAAATATCCCATGCTGCAATTGCTCCTTTAGACATAAACTGGCCCAATGCAACTTCAAGAAGAAATAATGGCACACCAGCAATTATAACACTGATGAAATAGGGTAGAAGGAAAGCACCTACATAAATTATTTAACAAAAAGAGGTTAGGAAATCTTATTCTTGACAATTTAGTATCGCGCGCATTAAAACAAAAATATTTTTTGATAGAGGAAACATTGTTTCGAGTCTGTGTGTAATCTTTATGTAACCTTAAGTTAGTTTTCATCTAACTGATTCACCGATGAACTATCTTTCGTAGTATAAACTTAGGTCGACACTATTTTAAATAGAAATTAGATACGTAACACTAAAATGAAGGGGAAAAAGATATGTGGACAATTTCTTTAGACGCTTTACTTTCAGAAATTGGACTGTGAGTTCAGAATCCTAGGTGTAAACTAATTATAAGGATCATCAACACAAGTACATTAGACTACTTTTTATTCGGTTACATTCAATTTCAATGAAATGCGAACGATACAACTATTGTGTCAGTAAAGTCAACGTCATCCTCTAGGAATGAATTCGTCAAAATATCTTCAATCAGATTACTATGCAAAAAGAGAATTATGTTGATTTAGTTATCAGTTTGTTTGACCAGCATATTACTGCGCCTTTATTGTTAGTTGAACGATTTTTAAACTGAGAAAAGACTAACAGAAACCACATTACAAAACAGCAGCAATACACGAAAATCAATGATTTGTGAGGCTGGTTATTTACTTTGATCCCTAAATATTTAAGGAATTGGTGTTTACAAATTCTTAATGAATTGGATAAACATCAGTCATTATGACTTGACTGAATTCCCTTTACTCGAATCAGTTGCTGCCTGTCACGCCATTGATCAGTTTCATTCAGCTTCGTTTAATTATTCTCTTTACTCTCGCATCTTTTCTGCCTTTTTCAGTCAGATTTCTACTTCGTATTCTTGTGGTTTTGCTGAATGGTGCGTCGGTGGCACAGTGGTTAGTACTCTCGCCGACCATGCACATAGTCCGGGGTTCGATCTCCTACCGACGCACACCTGATATCACCGATATCACATGCTGAAAATTCCATACCTGTACCAAAAAATACGGTGTGCAATCAAGCTGTAATCAAAAATAAAAAATAAAAACTAGTAGACTTTTATGTCAGGTCTTAATTTAATCTCTTGGCTTATTTTTGAAGCTTTCCGTGAGTAATGAAATAGAAATTTTCAGGTAAGTGAAAGTGATCTGATTAGACTCATAAAAGAAGTTTTGTCTATATAGAAGACTAAATTTTTGTACACAATAATGTTACCTGCTAACAGACACTTCTTCAGTTGCTTACAGTTTTCATTTTTCAAATCAACCCACGAAAGTAGAAGTCAGTTAACAAAAGGAAAAGAAATAAAAATCGATACCAATGCTATCAACTGTCTTTAAAATCAAAAGATTTGGTTGATAAATGTACATGATAATAAGTCCTGAGTGAATACTGGTCGTGCAGACACGTGAAATCACCAGGATAATTCCTGTCCACGGTTACCAACTATCGATTTTTGTGTTTTTCTACTGTCAAATAATCCAATTAAACTGCCGCGGATGTCGATGAGAAGTGTATTGTTATGTATGCTGGGTAAATGATTAAAGCTTGTTTGTTTTATCACATTTATTATTCTTATTGTCTACTGATAACTTTCCTTTCCAAGAATACTCAATCAAATTATGAAATAATATTTCAAAATAATTTTCTGTCTGTTCAAGATGCATTCAGTCAATGGAATACAGTTTTATATAAAGAACTACCATCACAACATATGGACATAGACCTGCACAACTCTGCCAAGTAGACTACGTCATCATCTTTCATCAGTGAAAATGTATTCATCAATATTAAAACACCACTTAATAATCTACTGATTGTAATATTAGAACAAGACATATAAGCGAACAATATTGTTTTCAATTAGATCTTCTTCAGGCTTTACTCTAATTTACATAGACTTATATATATATAAAATTTTAACCAATGACGGTGATTTAGTGGATCAAATAATAATAGTAATCATGATAATAATAATAATAATAGTAATAATAATGTGGTAAATGTTTTGAACGAAGTTAATAGCGATGATTATAATAATAACAAAATATTGTTAATAAGGCTTATATAGGTGATAAGAATAACAAAGTTAGTATATGCATATATGTAGACAATTCAATAAATAAATAAATTAGGTCAAGAAGACTAATTGGATGAACAAGACTGATTGTAAAACAACCAAAAACAATTCAAAAATCCGCAAGTTTCCAGTGAAGAGTCACTGACGATAACAGATAAGACTTTATAACGCTATACAACTTTCTGATCAACATATAACCAGAATGTTCCTTTTACTAAGGGTTACAAATATGAATTAAGCTTAATATAGAGTTTGAAGACGTAAAAGAAATTTGAGAGGTTCGATGTATTTGATGTCATTGATAATGGTTCAAGTCAAGAAGTCTCTGTCTTCTCGAAAGGATTTAATAAATTTAACGTCAGTTACTAATATTAGCACCGCCTGATAAAATTCCAACGGTGCGGTTATTTACAAGAGACGAAAGGTCGTGAAACAAAATAAGTATAAAGCATTATTCATTATCCCTGGAAAAACAGAACTTAACTTCAACGGTGGGGAGTTATCAACAAGCGTTTCATTAGGGCATTATTCGTCTAACAGCTACTGCTCGGGTTAAAACTAAAAACTTAGTGCACTTTTGGACAATATTCAGTTGGAACTCATTTATCAGGAAAGAGTTTTTCATGCTCTAGACTGAGTCTCACGATTTCTAAGGCAAGAGGACACCACCCAGTTGGCCAGCCTGAAGTAGGAGGTGAGTGACTCGAGCATGTGACTCACTGACTGAAAATAATGTTATTAAGCCAAAGAGCCCGTCCTGCGTTATAATAATTGATTTTAGAACTTTTTTCACGATCTTGGTCCATAAAGTAACAGCTAACTTAACTAATGAAGAGTTTTTTAAATTCGTTGAAATATCCTTACAAGGCCATTTCTTGTTCATCCAAAACTCGTGCTTCTGTATGTATCTAGATTTAAAATGATTTGTACAGTCTGAGTACAATAAGTAGAAATCTTTCCAACCTTAAACGGTCGCACTGATCAGTTCATTCGGCCACGAACAATAAAAGGCTTTAGTACTATTTTAGTGCATATTTAATCCTTCCACATATTTTGTCACTTCTGAAGCAAAGTCCTGAAATGACGTATATTCTCTAATTTGAATTATCGACAGTAGTTTTCTGGAGGTGCTTTACAACAGTATTAAGTTTTTTTAATACAGCTTGATTCCACACTGTATTTTTTGCTACAAGTATGGAATTTTCAGCATGGATATCGGTAGCCAAAATTTTGCAGGCCGACCATAGATATCAGGTGTGCGTCGGCGGGGGATCGAACCTCGAACCATGTGCATGGTCGGCGAGAGTCCTAACCACTGTGCCACCGACGCACAGGTTAATCTTCAGGTTAATCTTACATGTAAATTTGTAGTTTACTGTAAGAAGTGTTGTCATTAGATGTATGTTTCAGGCAATGAGGTAGAGTATTTTTATTTGTCCATACACTTAACTTAAAGGAGTGTATCAGCTTTTAGTAACTGTATTCAATCATTCACGTTCTCCACTGAGTATTATTAGTGTCATCCATACCTGGAGTAATTATGACGGATTATGAATACATAAGTATGTTGTCTTGTGTTTTGTTAATTCACATCACATTTTTCCAACCCTCTATCTTAAAGATCTATAATTCGTTTTCAAAACTGTTTTCGCTTGATTCAAGAAGTGTTTCAGTATACTCAAGTAATGAAACCAGTAGATCCGAGTGCCAAAACTTAAAGCCTCAGTGTTGCTCAACTGTGCTTGATAAATGGTACCTTTTTGTCTATGTAAATGTGAAGTTTAAAAATTAAAAATACTAAATCTTCAACACTCTTCACCAATACTTAAATGCTACTTGAAATAACAGTTTGTATAAGAAACAAACTATTCTGGGGATATCGAATTTATGGTGATAAAATTATTGTCAAATGTATGCATATATTCACTTAAAAAATATCCACAAGAAATTTACCCAATTACCTCCACCATTTTTATAACACAGATAAGGAAATCTCCATACATTTCCCAAACCTATAGAAAATCCCATACATGCTATAAGAAAATCTATTTTGCCTTTCCATCTGTCACGTTTTGTTGTATGCTGTGATCCAGTTTGTGTTATTGTACTCCATGAGGCTAAATTATTTTCCAAGTTATCCTCAGACTTGAAACATTTATTAGAATGTTCCATAATGTTAACAGGTGTGCTAAGTAGTGAATAGCTTTATAAATGATAAAAATGTGAAATAATTAATTTTATGTGGTAGATTAAACAATAATATTATCCTTCTAGATAAACTGAAGACATCTGGTATGTTAATAACAAAATGTTCTATTACTATTGACAGATATATGGAAATCAGATGTAGTTTGCAAACTGTTTTCTGAAATCTCTTCTTGAAAGCAGAGGTTTGACAGGTAAAATTAGTAATAATAGAATGAACGGTATTTGTAAGTCAAGTGGCCACAAATATCATTTGATGAATTAAATCCACAACACTTTCGTAAAGCTTATCAGAAAATTCCATTTTATTCAGTAGGTTTGATAGTCGATACTGATGAGTTTGCCTGAAGATGGTTAGAACCAATCGGTGTACAATAAAAGCCAAAGTAAATAATTTTTAATGTACATTTCTATACTTTAAGCCAATAGTTTATTTGTAATGATGCAGCTCTACATCTTTACAACCAATCAGATGTTAGAAAATCAATAATGTGACCTTGAATCAATTTTAAAGCTAAGGAGCACAAAAAGCATTCATCATTTTTATTCCCATTGAAAATACTTAATTCGGAACTTCTTTAGGTTGAAGATTGACATTAATCGAGAATACCTCATTGTTTATTTCATAACAAATGTTATTGACATTAAGCAATAAGTTCTGAAATTCTTCCCTCTATATAAATGGATCAATTCTTTTAAAGTCTGTCTAATATATGCTTTTATTCTATCCACTTGAAGAGGATACTAAACTTAGTGCGAATAGTTGGGAATCAAAATGAATACTAACTCGACCTGTCAGTGCAAAGAAATGAGAAACGCTAACGTCAATGTCTTTTAACATATGTTATTTCTAATACATACAGTGAAAGAACATAATATTAGCTGAATAACAGAACATGTATGCGCATGTGTATATTTCATCACTGGTTATTTTCTTAAAATTTTTATTATCAGTGACTTGAGTATATGACCAAGGGGAACCACACATAGTCCATTCAACCTTTTTTCCTTACGATAAGGTTGCGTTCTTTCTGAAAATATGTCATTTATGTGTATTGTTATCCAACGATGAATGAAAATGACCCTCACTCTGTACATTTTTCAACTAGGCTTCAGGTTTAGAGTAAAAACAGTTCAACAATTTTAAAATGAAATACTATCGCAACTACTAATCCCTACAGAGTTTTATTTAGTCATTAAGTTTCATCTTATTACTGTTTATTTTGTGCCTAAGCCTAAACGCATATATACTCCCTTCCACATTGGAAACTTTTAGTCCTCACTCCCACACTTACATTTGTTTGTTTGTAATATTTTACTTTTTTATTTCCTCTTTACGTGATAACCTGAACTGCGACTGTTTGATAAAATAAAAATCTGTGCGGGTGTCCCATTTAATTATTCTATTTGTCACTATAAACTCATTTTGGCCATATCATCAAACGGATTCCATTTAAATGGACTTTTATACTTTGAGATTCGAATGAACGACACAGGGCGGCAGACACAAGTCGAATTCCAATCGAGTGGAGACTGAGTGCACTTTAAATGTAATGAGGAATGCAACAAGTTTAACTTTTTCTAATTTACTACTTTCATACAGA